AGAGAAAGAAATTCAAGAAAGCTATCGACGACTTGTTTGGGATTTTTGCCGTTTAAAAATTTAGTAAGGTTCGTTAATCTGAAATTTAGGCCTAGGCCAAACGTCGAACTGTTCATGAGACGAACCAAGCTCTAATTTGGGTCGACCTTAAGTTAACATCGTCTGTTTGGTCGAACCAATCAACTGAATCAGACCAAAAACCAATTTTAGCTCAAGACTATACATTATCATAAAATTTTTTAAATTTAAGTTTAGTTCATCGCATGTGAAGATCTACGTTTGTCCCGGAGACGATCTTCAGACGTTCTTAATCCGTCTGAAGCTGAGTACGGATAAAACGTGTTGGACGATCCAAACTCATTCAGACGAACCTAACTTAGCCAGTCGACGTCGAACATTTCATGAACTTAACTCGCTTAGTCTGTTTCGGCACATCATAGTTAAAAGTTCGACGTTTGACCTATGCCTTAAACTGGCCTTTATCTATTGCAGCAAATATTATACGTGACTTTGCAAAACGATAGCTCTTGAAATTAGCTTAATTCTCAGTGCAAACTCATGATTTCGTGTCTAAAATGCCGATTATTTCCATTTAAGATATGAGAACAAATTTCAAAAAACGGAAAAATAGCATTAAAAGAAACATAGACATAATTGTCAAGGGTAAGTTGAAAATAAATATATTTCAGCCTCAAGTAAGCATCACTAATCCACAATACCTTCAATTCTTTCCTCGTTGTTTTCTTACGTATGTTTCCTTTTCACTTAAAACAAAAAAATCCTTTTTATTAGTATTTCATGTTTCAGTGCTTGAAGGTGTGTTGAAAATGAAAAAGGTGTCTCCAAATAATCTTCATTTTCACCCTTTCCGCCTTAACTAAAAACAATGCCTTATTAACCGCCTGTTTTAACAGATGATGATTGGTCCTGGCTGAAAAAGGTGTTGTTAATATCGACCCTGTAATATTAACATATGTCCAGCTGCTCTTGGTGAAAGGTAACAAGGATTAATAGAGACTATTCATATTTTCTGAAAATTATTTCTTGTCAGTCTGAGCGTGGCTTTCATTAATGCTTTGAGTCGCACGAAAAGACTATACAACGAAAGGCGATCTCACTTTTGCAAAGTCATCGAGGCTTTTTTTTTTTTTTAATATTGAAGCTTATTGATAAGTACAATACAATACACAATATCAACAAACAAAGAATGACATTACAAAACTAAAATAGACAAGATACAACAATACAGGGAATTGCAATTATTAATTACAAAAAATGAATAGTTAAATAGATAAATTAAAAAAATCACCAAATAACAGAAATAACTAAACAAGTCAAGGTTGTTTACGGCTAAAGGCTCAAGGATTCACGGACACATGAAGGCCCTATAGATAATTTGTATTTCAGAAAAGCTTTAAAGTCTAAGAAACTATATGGTTCGCTTCTTTGGCTGCGGTGTAGACATAAAAACGAGCGACTATCAGGCAAAGATTAAACGTATGGAAGGATCGATTCTCAGGGAGTTTTCCGTAAATCTTATCGTTATTGCTCAAGGAAACTGAGGGCAAGTTATTATCGTTCCACTAAGAGCTAGGTAAAAAGGTTCCCTTCTTCAATTCACACACATGACAGGAGTCACTGTCAGTAATTTTGGCCTTGCAAAGTTTGTTGCGAGTGTACAGGATGTGATGGTTTATTTTAAACTGAAACATAGAAAGCTTTATGTTTTTTGTGAGCTTGAATGGAAGAACGTATAACCCGCAATTCTCTTATCTGTGAAGCCAGTCTTAACAAGACGAACTTCTGATGCAGGTTTTTGGAAAGATTTAGATACATAAAACGCGCGTGCCGACTCGAAAGTCTATAGATAAGATGCAACAAAATAATTGAATCGAGTCATGTATCTTTCTCCTTTGAAATTAACATTTCAATCCAAAGAGATATCAATAAAATAACATCATTGTTACCAACCATATACCTCTATAAATTTACCAATACGATCAACATTTTGTAGCCGAAATTGGCAATCGCTAAGGCGTCGGAAAGGTTCGCTTTTAAAATATTTTCACGGTTGTGATAAGTTTATTTCATGCTGTAGATCACGGTAGGTAGCGAGGAGTGGTGAATAACTTGTCAGCAAGAACTGGAAATAAGGTAATTTCCCGTTCTTCGTCCTGGCCCATTACAGACTGCGGCCTACCTTTTATTGGGAGAAGACGAGGGGTTAAAAGAAACCGCAGGTGGCAGGAAAAAACAAGCATAAATCCTCGAGGACTGAGCTTCAAGAAGCAGATTAGTTGTGGACTTGTAATAGGATTGTTCAGATGAGTAAGGACCGAAAAGTCAGGGCAGTAAATTCTGATGAGTATATATTATTTCTGGCTACTTACCGCTTTGGTCAGCATTTTCCTTTAGAAGCTTAGTTCATTACTGCATATAGACTGGGAGCATATGTCAAGAGATACTTCACAGTAAGAATTAAACATCTTGAACTCCAGGGACGGGTCAACTCAGGAATGCTTCATAAAAACTAACGAGTCTGTAACACTGCTAGTTAATCCTAAACAAACACGCTTTTGAAATGTTTAATTAGTTAACTAAGTTGTCTTAGTACTGCTATGAAACCTTAGCACTTCAGAACAAGGCCCACTGTTTTTACAGAAAGTCACGACTACTCCCCTTTGGCCCTTAGCTTTTCTTACTACTTTTCTCGACCGTCCACCATGACTAAGTCATCGAAAACACGATCTGGCGATGTTTTGATTCCCTGGCTTTTCTTGGACGCATGTGTGGCTACTGCTCATGCGTATCCATTATTGGATCGAGTATTAAAAGCGATACTCTCGACCAGCCAGATGTGGATAATTGTACTGGCCAGACCACAGATTTAGTATGCCTGTTGTTCTTGTTTAGTTAGATACTGCGATATTACATTGGATGGGATCGTAGCATTTTTCACATCATTTGTTAGGCAACAGCATGCCAGGAAAGGAACCATAACCCTATTTCCATATGTTTTAAGCTTTTGCTGAGCAACCACTCGATCTTGTTGTCGATATTTTTTCAAAGTGATAATGTAATTTTTCCATTTATTAAAACGATGTTTAATTTAACGCAATATTTTGCTTTAACAATGGTAAATAAGATTGTTTAGCAACGTAAACTTGATGCTGATCAGCAATTATTGCCAAAATGAAAATAAAAGACGGCTTACTGATCTAAAAAGTACGTAGTATAACTAGATAATTGATCCAGAAAGTTCGCATACGCAGTTCAGTGTCATAACAGGTGTATCGCCCTGGTAGCATTAAACTTACCTATTCTAAAAATAATAATTATTCATCCACAACAAATGATAAATGTCACTTCTCATAAAATAAATAGACAGTTAAAAACCAGGAAACGAATACCAGCTCCTGTAAGTTAAATACTAAAATAAAGAAAAAAAATTAAAATTATCTGATAACTGAATAACTAACCAACTAACTACATAAACAGATAAATACACAATCAAGTAAATAAATAAATAGATGAATAAATGGAACGAAGGAAGAAAAGGTCTGTCCTTTCATCGTTCTGCTAACTTTGCATTATGTTAGCCAGTTTTGTGCGATTTTCCTTGCTGGAAGCCGTATAATTTGACGTGCTGATAAAACATTGATAAAATTAACATTTCTTTTATTCTGCTTAAAAAACGTTAAATCTAATAAATTTTTAACAACAGCTGTCCAAAAATTTATAATGTTTAATTTATAATGTTTAAGTTTTTTCTGAAGAAAAATTACTTTAAGGTCCAAATTATTTCTTTCACATCGACAAACTGAAAAATACCCAAAGATGATACATCCAAAGCGTTATGAAAGTTATATACAACGAGGCTAACTGAGTAATGATTAGTCTCAAATTTGCATTTGGCTCTTAAAACTCATTGTTTTTCCTTTGGGTCTTACATCTGATTATGAAACTTTGTTCGTATTGTACATTTGTTATGCCTTATTCAAGTTCTAGCTTTACATCATACCCCCAGAGGAGCGTTGTTATATCAGGCCCCAGCATGCTTTGGGGTGTAAAATGAACGTTGCATCCATCTTGCTGCGTTTAGTCTTTCAACATAGCTATCCGATCACCTTATGGCTTTACGCTGGCTGTGTAAAAAAATTTTTTTAGTTGTCTTTGATTGAGGAGAACGAATGGAAAGGATCATAAAACTCTATTACTAAAGTGAAAATACTTTCCAAGAAAAATTTATACTAGTTAACCTTAAACTGTGCATTTCCCCTTCATGACAAAAAATATGAAAATTAGTTTATTTCCATTTGTCCTTTAAGATCCGCCATATGTTTCATATGGGATATAGCATATGCTGGGTTATGGGACATAGCATATGGTCAATCCACAAGCATTAATTGAAGCCATATTGTTTAATGAAACGTTTGATTCCGATTAAAAAGTACTTTTTATTTGTGTTGTGTTTACCAATTATGACATTTTTAATTTCAGTGATAAAAAAAACTGGGGAAAAACTAAGCTCTGAACCACAAGAAATCGTCGGAAACTTCAGGGAATCTTCACCAGCAACCTTCATAGCAATGAATTTTTTCATTGAAATTTTTTTTCCCCCAGTTAAAGAAATAAATTTTATTGTTTATATGCAAAAAGTTCTGAATTTAAATTACCGGCGATATTAAAACTTTTGTTACTCTTAAGCGGAACATCTTAAGTAGCATGCTTATCTGCTTTCCGTGGAAACTCCGATTATCTTAAAATGATTTTGCACGCAAGAAATGATCCAAATCTGAGTTTGGATCTAGACACTTTCAGGAAACTTGGTCTCTAGCTCAAAATGGTAATAGCTAGGGCAAAAAGCCAATGTATTTTATATTTCTCTCAAACCCCAATCTAAACATCATTACGTAAATATAGATCATCTATAATTCTACAAGCCGTTTATTTCGTTTGTACAATTGAGGATATATTTTAGTATTCATTTGATTCCTTAGTTAATGACAACAGCAATTTTTAACAGCGCTACGCGCATCAATGATTACTTTTCGGACCGCAATTCGCTGATCTTTATGCCGATACAAGTAAACAGAGAAGTTCATGACGGCGTTTAACATCATTACAGTTTCAATGTAGCGCCAGAGTACAGTGTGGAGACGAGGGCTGACAGAAGTTGCCTTATTGGTGAAGAAAAATCCAAGCGCAGGTGCATAACAGAACGCTGAAATACCTACGAGTATTCCAACAGTTTTCGCAACTTTTCTTTCTTGCGCTTTCTTTCTTTCCTCTTCCGGATTCACTGGTTCAACAGCGACAGCGCTGACTCGACGAATCCTTAAAAATATTCTTAGGCAAGCAAAAATAATAATCACAACACTAAACACTATCGAAGCAATGACAAGCGCGTGGTAATCGATGATTCCTGTGAATACGCAAATGCTTAAAAATAAACGAAAAAGGGCATAAATGCCAAAGGCTATGCATATGCGCGTTTTAGTAACCCATTGGTTATATTTGATGCTGTGAATAATCGCTATGTAACGATCTATACATATCACTGCAATGTTTTGTAGAGTACTGTCTGCGACTAATGTTATTATGCCAGACACGATGTATTCCAGGGAGCATGTGGTCGACGGACACGCCAGGAAAAAAACAGTGTCGGATATAATCAGAGGCTGCATAACCGCGCCATTAAAGAGACCAACAGGAGCTAAGCTGAGTAGACACATATTAAGTGGTGTCTGGAAGGAAGGGGTTCTGGCGTATGCTGCAATCCACAGCGCGTTACCTGTGGTTGCTACCACGGAAAGAACAGCGTTTAAAGCGATTTCTGACACCAGCATAGGCAAGTGAACCATGCGCAGTTCTGCGCAAGATGTTTCGGCTGGATGCAGGGGCCATGAACACTGCACTTCAGTTACGTTTAAAAATGACTTCCCCGACATGCTCACTGAAGCTAACCTCGGGTTTGTTAAGCGCAAGGCTCCAGCTTCCCGGCTGATACTCAGACAAAAAAAAACTTTGCTGTTTTGTCCAGCGTAAGTGGTGGTTGCTATGGCCTTGCCGTGTTGCTAAACCAAGTTCTGCGTAAAATAAAAAAACAAGGTGCTCTATTAGTTCTTGCTTGTAATTCGACTATTTTCTAGTTGTACTTGGAATTTGAATCCTTTTCTTATTTGAACTAAAATTAATTTAAAATTTCTGGTATGTAATAAACATCTCAAAATTGAACATGACATTCAAGCTGATAAAGTTCGAGAAAAAAGAAGGCTTTATTGAAGTTTCATTTCTTTAAAACCGAAAATGTCTTAAAATTCTTAGTAAACTACTAGACCTTTTTGATTCAGTTTGCAAGGATTACGAATGAAAAAATAAAGAACAGAATTTTATGTTCGAGAAACTAAATATTGATTGTTCAGAATGGAGCAACTAAAACCCAGGAATAAAAACATGGCAAGATGATCAACTCAGAATAAACTTACTTATCTAATGAGGTGATTTAATCTCTGAAGTATCCTTGACGAGCTTTTTTGCCAGGCAAGCCCGAAGTGACAGAAATCTTCTGGTTTATCATCGGCAGCAAAAGTTACTCCGTTAAAGCAGCAAGACTAATTCGACTGCACCTTTATCGAAGACGACCAGGCTTCATTTAAATTCTATTTCGTGTAAATCCGGATATCTACCAAGAGGCTTTTTGTGTTTCTTTCTATTACTTTCAGCTGTGCGGCATCATGACGGAAACTTCAATTGGGACTCTTTGACAAAGAGCTTTATATGCGTGGTTGGATCACGTGCTAGACAAGTCAAGACTGCTTTAAAATCCTTAATGTAAAAATGAACAGCAGTTTGGTGCGCTCGAGTTTTACTGATTATCGCAGAAATGTTACTCGTAGTTCTATGCACTGCCAATTTGATGAGAGTGTCGTTGTTGCTTTTCATCATAAGCGTACATAAATTGCGTCACAATTCGCATTACATAACGTACGAATATCCTTTCGTCCTCTTAATAAGCTAACAGCCATTGTTTAGTGATTTTTAAAAGCGAAAAACATTCTACACTAGCACTGACGTGAGGCCTTCCGATAGTCCCACATAAGTAGGGGAGGGGACAGCGGTTCCAGACCTCCCATCCCCCGTCGCTTGCATTCCTGGCTCTCGCCTCTTTTTCTTACCTTCTTCTCTTAAGCGCTTTTTGGATTGAGAAATATATTTCCCCCCCATTTCTCCCGCTTCCCACCTTTTTAGAACTCGCACCTCTCGCCTCCCGTAACCCCCTCTGCCCCCTGTTCTCTGGCCTCTTGCCACTGACCCTATCCTTCCCTATACAACATGCAGCTCAACACCGGTTGAACTTCTCGCTGCTGCAGAAGAAGGTCTGGTTCTAATGATCGGTGACTACCGATATTAACCTTAATATCAGCGGAAAAAAAATCGAAAAGACTTGCCCCAGTTTATATTTTTAATACTATCGACAATCTTATCTACACCAAGCTTTCGCATTATAAGGGTTTTTTGTGGTTTAATGTCATCCTTAGCGTTAATTTTATTTTTCTTAGATTTGGAGTTTTAGATTCTGAGACGAGGACGACTACGAGTAGGAGATTTTCTCAGTACTAGTGCTCTTGCGTGAACCAAAGTCATTCTGGCGGGAAAGAAATGTCGTAGTGGGGGAAACATGTTATCAAATTTTAGAAGTTTTGTAACCGGGAAGACCGCCATTTTTACCCCATAAATGTCATAGGAGCCTATCTAGGCCCCTGGTTTAGCCCTTTGGCTAAAAGTTGTCCAATAAAAATAACGCACAAATTTTCCGGTGAAAAAAATAACAATGAAGTTTTTCGGGTTCAATATTTTTCGATCAATACGCGAAAACACCTTAAGTTAAATCTCGTACTCCTAGTCGTCCTCGTCCTCAAATCTAAAGCTTTCAAATTAATCAAGTAAAGTGAAGCCCTCGCTAAAGCCTAAAAGCCAAGCCTGTCAGCCAGCCTGCACCAAGGTCTCTCGGTTAACACAACAGCGCGTAGACTGGACGCTTGAAGAGTTGCAATGGCGGGAACAGTTTAATGGCGGCTTCTGCGATAAGTTTGAACTTCTTGCCTTTTCCGTTAAGGAAAGCTTTGCTAAAATTTCAAAAGGAAGGTGTTCAGTTCGGAATAAGCAAGCAGGGAAGGTAATTAAAGAATTAATGCTTACAAAAATGCAGTATTTTCATTTTGAAATCGGGATTGTTATGCCGGCTTCGGGTGTCTGCGGCTTAAACAATGCAGTAACAACAATGGGTTATTTGCATTTATTAATTGGTTTGATTTAAAAGGACTGACAGTACTTTTCTTTTATTTCATGCAGATGTTTGATTGGGGATGAGGTAAGTCAAGTTTTTAAAATGTTTTCATTTAAGCGTGCGGTCAGGACTACATGACAGTGACGTGTGAAGCTTGCATAGTGTTTACATTCTCTGAAGTGTGAGCTTAAACTTTTGGGCTTTAATGGTATTCACGTCATCATTGACAGCGAACTGGCATTGAAAAACTCCTGTTTGTGAAACAAGACAAGAGGAGACAAGAACTTTATTTATACCACACACAGCAAAAAAGACATTAAAAATGACAAGAGTACTTATGAGGCACTGCCGGGGGGAGGGGGGGTCCCATGTCGCCCGTCTGAATTTTAAAACGCCTCGTGTCGGTGTTTATAAATGCTTGTCGCTTATTGTCGGCTTTGCCGTCACTGTCGCAATTTGGCCGAAGGAGGATGTCTCTTGTCGCGATTTCATTTTACGCGCTGTCGCTACTTTTTGGACCATGTCGCTTGTCGGAATTTACCCTGGCAGGTCCTCACTTATGCAAGGTACAAGCCACCTAGAAAATAGCTAAAAAGCTAATCTGGCTAGGAGGCATTAAAAGATACAGGGGGTTACATTAGGGAATCCAGACTTTGAACCTTGAGGAATTGGGGGAGAGCTGTTAACATAAATATCTCGGTTTTGGTTTCAGCATAAGGAGGCTCTCGGCCGGCCTCCTTTGTCCTCACCCCTAGATCTGCCCCTAGGTTGTTTTGGGGGGATTTTAATAAAGTCAATCTGTTCTTTGCGCATGTAGCATTACACTCCTCAGATGGTTGAGTTTAGCAGGATCAGGACCCAGTTAAATAAGAAATAAACCACTTCAATATATTAAAATCAGTGCTGTCAACTCTCTTGGATAAAATTTTGGAGCAAATGTCCCTGTCTCTAGATTAAAGTATGAAATCTCCCGGATAATCTCCGAAGTTTGCCATTTCTTCAGGAGACTCTTCACTTACGGCTATAAAATTTCAACTAAACTTATTTTGTGTTGATTGAGCTATTTTGATGTTAACATCGAATGTTTCCTCATAAACTCCTCCGGTATGCCAGTATAATAATGTAAACCGTCAGGTCATATGTTATTACAAGGCAAAAATGTCTTTTTCCCGTGTTTTGTGTCATTGCAAATTTGTGTAGTCTCCCTCGCAGCCGTTTTTAGTATCGTCACGCAACGCTCGTGACGATACTAAAAACGGCTGCGAGGGAGACTAAAATTTGTGACGATCAGAGAGTATTTTATGACCAAATGACATCATGGGCCCTGCGTCATGATGTTATCTACCATCCTTTCCCTATCAATTCTCAATATTTGAATACATGGGGGGTTAACTTCTCCTTTGTCCCGCTATTCCCAGAAGAGACTTGAGCTTAACAAAAAAACCCAAACCAAATAGAGAAATATGACCAGGAAGCCTTGGAGTCATGTTAGAATTTTAATATATTGTATGTAGATAGATAGATAGATCGCATTGCAACCAGGAGGTTGAATTAAGCAATTATTTACAAATGAATATAATTACTTAAAAATACTACTACCAATAACTGGAAGCTAATTTCTTTAGAAAAATGTAAGAAAATTATTAATAATAGAAACACAACATGAATAAACTAGTACAGCAACAAAAATTGTGATTTGTGAAAAAAAGAAAATAATTATAGAAATCTGATACAATAAAAAGGAATCAAAACTTGTAAAACTATAGACTGAAACACAGTTTACTCTGCTGTTCAATGAGCTCGAAAGCTTTCTTAAAGTCAAAGAGAACCACCCTCACAGTGGCCCCATTACCATCAGTGGCACTCACTCTTCCATGCATGGATCATGCCTGGAATATAATTTGTGCCAAAATATATTCAATGCCGCGCAGTAAGGTTTCCCTAGCATCAAACCTTTTCATGCACAGAATAACTATGTTATTCCCTTATTTAGACACTCAAATCACTCAGCGAGGTAGAAGAGAATAATGCTGTTTTCTTCTTTCGTGTTGCACACTTGCATAAATATTACGTGTCAAGTTCAATGATCCATTGGTCTTTTTATTTTTCGTCAACAGATGGGACTTGGCAAAACCCTCCAAGCAATAAGCATTGCATATCACTACAAGGATGCCTGGCCACTCCTGATTGTTGTGCCCTCTTCTGTCAAGTTTTCCTGGATTGAGGAGATTGAAAAGTGGTTACCTGAAGTAGAGCCACATAACTTGAACCTGATAAGGTCTGGTAGTGATATCAGGTTTGTCCAATAAACTGCAGCTTCTTATTTATTATAAATAATATGGAGGGGCGGAAACTGTGGCGTCAAAGCAAATGTAAACATAATAAAACCATACTAGGTTTCATGAACATTCATACCCATTCTTCCACACCAAGATTGTGTTGGCTTGTATTTTGTGGGCAGCTGCATTAAAGACCAAAAAAAAGGTTTGATTGTCAATATATTTAACACAAAGGTAGTAATGAGGACACTGTTTTTATGTATCCTACTGGAGATGAGATAACTATTTCTACACGTGGTCATCTTAGCCATGCAAAAGTCTAGCTACAGCTGTATTTGGAAGGCAAAGGCAGTACCTTCTTTTCCTAGATATCTCAAGATGCTGAGTATTATTCTGGTCCTGGGGATTGAACCTGCAACCACTATGAAGTCAACCCTCTACCTATTGAGCTAGACTTAGCCCAAGAAAATAACAGAAAACCCAGTAGTACATGAAGTTATTTGTTTTTTTTACTAACTGTTATTGCAGTATCCTGGATAAAGCTGTCATTCATATCGTTGGATATGGCCTTCTAAGTGTAGGGACATCCAAATTGCTGCTACAAGCTCTGGAGAACCAGAAGTTTAATGTTATTATTTTGGATGAATCACATTACTTGAAGACAAGAAATGCAGCTCATACAAAGCGGCTCCACCATCTCTGCACAAAAGCTAAACATGCCATTTTGTTGAGCGGAACACCTTCCTTGGCAAGACCTCGTGAGGTATGTGATTGGTGTAACTTGGCCTGTCACCCTTGACTCCTCACCCCTTCTCTTGATGTCTGTTGCATTCATACAAGAATGTCTTACATAGGGATAACTTGTGTCAATAGGAAATCAGGTAATTTAATCTGCCCCTATGATTGATCGGTTTATATTGGACCAAGCTGTGGTACTTTGTCAACTTGACTCCATGAAACCCTGTATAGCTGTTAAGGACATTAGTTACAGGCAGCTAAAATCTGTCGACATGGATACACTCAGAGCTGATTTAATGAGGTCTGAATTGTGCACCAATGTGTTTACTAATTTGGATACGATGGTCTCCTCAGGGCTGTCATTAATATTTCAAGTTGCTGTGAAAAAAGATACAAGTAGGCGGTGAATCAAACACCAAGGGATATTATTGTTTGGTGCTATTTTTCTTCTATTTTCCTACTAAAGTAGGTGGGGGTCTTGTTCATAGTATCCGGGAAAAATCCGTAGCCCCTGGCCCTTAATGACTTGCATGAAATCACATCACGTAAATAGAGCTCCCCAATCCCTTGTATTGAAGCAGATGGCATAGCACATTGTGATAATCCATCTAATGCCAAGATCTTAAACGTCCACTTCTCTACAATTGGTACAAAGCTCGCAAATTAATGAAACTAAAATCCTTCTTTACCTTACCGTCTCCTCCTGCAAACTCAACTGATTTGCCTAAGTTTGTTTTCAAACCAATCACCAAAGAGTTTGTACGTGGTCAACTTAAACAACTTAGAACTAACAAAGCAATTAGCCTAGACAATATCAGAGCTCGTCTTCTGAAAATAGTGCTGTGTGATTTAAACTAATGACATATAACAATTATTTTTAGCTGTATTTTCAGCTGGATATTGTGTGTCCAGGCAAGTTTGGTAAATACAACAGTTTTGTCAAGCGTTATTGTGATGCTCACAATGTTTTTTACCGTGGAGCTCAGCGTTATGATACCAGGTACAAATATAAAACACTTGTTTAATCTGATGTAAACAAAAAAGCCAGCCTTGGATATATGGGTATACATGTAATATAGTGGATAAGTGGATGTCAGCAAAATTTCTGGATCACAACAGTGGGGAGGTTAAGCAATGACGGTGGTGACAGCAACAAGAATGGCGAAAAAGCAGTAGGTTTAGATAAGCAAAGCAACAACTATGTATGTACATCACCCTTTTTTGTATTTCTTGGCACTCATTTCATGACTGCGATATGAAACCTCCTAATTCTACGTGCCTGCTTTATGTAGTAGGTGGGCACAGCACAAAAATTTTGTTTGTCTTTTTCTAAACTTAGATACGATCCTTTTGGATTCAACCCTGGAAAATTTCTCCAAAATTTGACATATTAAATGAATTAAATTGAATAAGATTGGTGAAGTCTGAAACATTACAAATCCACTTTTTAAGTGACATTTTCGGTTTAATTTTATCCAGAAATTTTGCTACCATGGCAACATGATGTAATGACTTTTCCTCTCTTTTGAGGTCAAAGTTAACTTCAGGTTAGAATTTTTTTAACCTTGGTTGATTCTCAATTTCCTTTGTCTCCTAGCCATTATTCATATAATAGTTAGAGCTAGGAGATGAAGGAAATTAACTTAGAAAGAAACTGTAACTGAATTTAAGGTTTTGACCCAAAACATACACCCGTACCGGTATCTACACATGTGCTTCTTACAGATACCTACAGGTGCAGATACATCCATGATGACAGCTTTCTTGTTTTTCCCCTGATCTTATTGTCATTAATTTGTTATTGAACAATTCCACATTTAACCCTAAACCTATCTAAATAATTTTCTCATATGCAGTGGTGCTTCAAACCTTGAGGAACTTTACCACCTCTTAAAGGAAAATGTTATGATTCGCAGACTTAAAAAAGAGGTCAGTTTAATTTAGATGCTGCTGCTACTATTTTGTAAATTATCAATAATGGCATGATATGTATGCAATATACTGAACTTGTAACTTAATTTACAGGATAATATTTGTTTTGCCTTGTATTTTGTAGGTTTTGACCCAGCTACCACCAAAGAGAAGACAGAAAGTTGTTTTTGATATTTCTGAGTCCTGTAGTAAATACAAGAAGGTAAGAGTTAGGTGTAATCCTCACACGGAATTTTTTTTGTTTTGTTTTTTCTTTCATCCACTTGTGCACCCTTGCTAGAATCAATGGATTTAATATTATAACAGACCAACAGTGTGTAACATTATATCCTCCTCCAAGTCATTGTGATCGTAAATATGGAAGTACAGTCTATTAACTAGCTCTGGGAATAAATAGCCAGTAAAGGTATGTAAGGCTGTTTTATTATGAAGATGATGAATAAACTGAACATGCTGTCAATTTTCATTAATTTGTTATCTATGAATTTTAGGAAATGCAGAAAACTATGAAGGACTTTAAGAAATGCTCCGCTATCCTGAAAGGTGAAACTGAAGATTCATCAATCCAGTCTCCTTTGTTTGAGATGAATAGGCTCTCCACTTTATTGTACCACTACACAGGGCTTGTCAAGGTGGGATAATGAAATTGAACTATAATTGTTACAGTTATTCATAGAGAATTCATGCCAGTAAGATACAGGAGATGTTGATAACTTTATGTTACCAGGGAAAGCTATATTCCAGGCAATGATAATAAAATTGTGGTGGCACTCCCTTGAATTAGATAATCAATGACACTTTACTAAGGTATGAATGTTGGGGCTGAATATTAAACCTGTGTTACCATAACAGTTGAGGTGTGATCAGGTGATTTAGCACCATTCAGGATACTGGCCCTCTAACCATCAGCTTACTGTGCAGCCTCCAGTGCTGCCTCATTTTTAGAACATAATTCTTGTTGGTAACATTTTGCATCATTTCTTACTACAAAGCAAGTTAATTTCTGACCCAATATTAAACTGTTATAAAGGAAATAAAGGGAGATGTAAATAATCAACCATAAGAGGACACAGAAAAAATCTGAACCCCAGATGGGACTCGAAACTACGACCCTCCGTATTCTAGATCGGATGCTCTAACCTCTGAGCTACTGAGGACTCATTGGTGAGCAAGGGTCATTTTTTGGGTTGGACTTGTGAACCACATCTTGCAGTCACACAGTCCATCACAAGAAACACATTAAGGCTTAACTGCATCATGTAGTCACATTAATAGCAAGAAATGTCTCACCCATGAAGGAGCCTCCAACTAACCAACCTAGGCCACTGATATTAATATTATAAAAACCACCCAATATTATTCAAAAGTTACAGAGTAACTTTCATTTTAACAGTGACCGTCTGAAGCAAATATTTAAGCTTCCACACTCTATCATTGTCGAATTGTATGTTAAAGCCTTCCAGTACAGAGTAATTAACTCAATTCTTTACACAAATACAAAGTTGTATAAAATAGGTTTTAGAACAAATGATTTATGTAGTTTCTGTGACAATCAACGCGAATAATTAACCCATTTGTTCTATCACTGCTCATGTTTTAAACAGTTTTGGATTGAATTTGAATTATATTGGTGCCTTGTTTTGAATCAACGAATTCGTCTTTGCTTAGAAAATGTGCTCTTTGGAATTTTGATGGAAAATGCTTGCCCTTTACTTCAATTGCTAAACTATTTTTTAATTATCGGAAAACTCTATTTGTGGGACCGTAGGAGCAAACAAATCCTTCCAAACATTTATGGATTTAGGGCGAAGATCATTGCTAACTACTAAACGGAAAAAAAAATCAGAGACAAAGAATTCTTTAAAAGAAAGTGGATACTGACGCCTTATTTAAGTTAACTGTCTAAACTCTGTATTATTTCATTGCCCTGTTGTACTTTTTTCTCATTTCTTTTAGCCCTGTAATAATTTAACAATTAATTTTGCTTTATTCTGTTAATGTCCATTGTTAAAATGCTTTTTTGTAGTATTGTAAATGTAATTATCTAATGTGATTATCAATAAATAATTATATTTTAAAAAAAGTTAATTTCTGACTCATACAAAGCACAGTACCAATTATTTGTTTTTGAAGACAAAATCATGGCAATTAAAAAAGTACATACAGTCATACCTCTCCACAACAGCCATCTTTAGGACAGAAGAAAGCGGCTGTTGTGGTGATGTTGCCTGTATGGGGAGGTAGGGAGTGTAATATGACAATTTGTTGTAGGAAGTATAACACGCTTATTGTGCTTAGTTCATGCTTACTGTATCCTACAATGGTAGTCCAATCATAAATTATATAGAGATAAAATTCACAAAAAGCTTGAATTATGTTTTGAATCAAAATGTCAATGTGACAAAACAAGCAACATTTGCTTTAAGTATCAATTTATACCTACTGCAGCATCATAAATGGAACACAATCAATGTACGACCTTGATTGATCATCATGCAAGGCGCCATGTGGATCAAATTTCATGACCATTCAGATTCTTGACTTTTTCATCAGTCACTGAAAAAACTGGCCGTTATCGAGAGGTTTTTTTGGCAGTTAGGGACACGCTTCAGTGGCTGTTGCCATTGTAAAAGGTTTCATTGTAGAGAGTAAATGTATGGACTGTTCGCCAAGACAAAATAAAGTGGCTTGTGTAGAGAGGTGGCCATTCGTTGAGGTTTGACTGTTATACATGTTCATTGTCTATCACTTGAATTAATTTTTTCTTTGATTTTCAAAACTATTAATTATTCCCTAAAAAAATCTTAGCCACTATTTACAAGAACATTTGAACTGTATCCTTTCTTAGAATTTTACCCCTATTGCAAACTCTTTTCTTCAGAAGGAAACATGCAATCATTTCTTAGAAAATTTCTTCCTATTCTTCTTCATAAATTGAGTGAACACTATTAAATTCAAAATAAAATAAAAAAATTCAATGTCGTTCATCAAATTTTGATGAACGACATTGAATTTTATTTAATTTACACTTAGATTGGTCCAGTGTTGAAGTATATAGAGGACCTTGCCCAAGGAATGGACAGCAAGTTCATTGTGTTTTTTCGCCACCGTCTGGTGTGCCAAGCTATAGTCCAGAAGCTGGTGACATTAAAGCTAAAACACATCTGTATTGCTGGTGATGTGCCTTCTGGAATGAGAGGGGTATGGTACTCGTCATCTAATTTTTTGATCAGTCTGACTTGCTTGTTTGGTCTTTCAGCAACATTATTATACTGTCACATACACCCTGTATGTTCTGTCATGAACAATGAAATTACTGCAGTGGGAAGTTGGAAAGAATACGTTAACTGCCAGCATACAGCTTACTGTATGCACTTGATACGCAAACTATTCTTGAATCCAGTGGTCAGCTGAGTGTTATTTTGATCTCTGTTTCTTGGAATTTGCTGCCAAAACGTAAACTTTACAAACTCAACGTGGTCTTCAGAATAACATAGAAACACATCTTAGTTGCAGTGAGACATTTATTATCTCTTGTGATTATATTGTAAAACAGTTGTATGAGAGTTTTCTTTGAAAGATGATTCTTCAGTTTAATGTAGCCCTTTTTTTCTAGGATCTGGTTCACTCATTTCAAACTGACCCTCAAGTGCGTATTGCTGTTCTTTCCATTGAAGCTGCATCTTTTGTAAGTACCTGTACAAACACTTGAAATATTTTCTGTGTCTTTAGTGTGTCATGTAGCTGGCTTACAACATTTGAAAGCAAGCCATCCCTCCATCTCCTTGACTTTCTGTGAGTTCCCAACGTAGTGCATTTGTCATCATCATAATTCGTGGCTGTCTGGGGGTGGGGTATTTGACACCTTTTTACTAATTGAATTAAGTGTTCAATGTTTTCTTCCCATTTGCTGCCCTGAGAAGACATACAAGAGTTTGAACATTAAAAGACATCTCCTTACACAAAGAATTTGAACATTATATTTGTAAAGTCAGGATGAGAAATGTGTTTGGAGTTAGCTGCTACCCTAATTACTTTCTAGCAATGTGTTTGCTGAATGAAAGTCAGATTCATTTTGGCTATTGTTGGAGCCTAGAACCAGCTATACACTTCCCTGTCATGTGAGCAATTACACTATATTAGTACTGAATACATGTAGCAATCATAATATTATGTCACTCCATCTCACCAGGGCCTGACTCTTACAGCAGCCCACCATGTGGTATTTGCTGAGTTGCATTATACCCCTGGTGTCATCATACAGGCTGAAGACAGAGCTCACAGAATTGGACAAACATTACCTGTTAACGTCCATTATTTGATCGCACGAGGAACTGTTGATGAAATTCTCTGGGGTATGATTAGACGCAAGGTACATGTCCAAAGACTGTTGATTTATGTTGTCTGTGCTATAATCTGCATAACAGGCTAGGAAACCTGAAAGAGGTTACTTACTGTAAATTGGAAGAGTGTAGATGGGTTTTAAACACCCTATTCTCCCTTTGCTCCTTTACAGCTTTAGTGTCAGTCACGAAAAGATACTCACGAGTAATGTGAGCTCGTTTTGTTACATTGTATACTGTACTGACAAAAAAGACTGTACCTTGGTGGAATTAATTGTTTAGAAGGATGCCAAAGCTTGATATAAAGCCAACTCGAAGATACACACTGCTGTCTGATTTAGGATGCAGTTAGTATCAAGCTGTATTACCTGGCTCTCTCTGCAGGTGTATGTTACTAGTAGCACCCTTGATGGGGAATGTAAGGAGCTTAAAGCAGAGGATGGTGATGAGGATCAAAGTCGTCAGTTGACTGCATGTGCTGCTTGGGTGCAGGATCACGAAGAAGACGCTGGTGAGCTTGAAGACTTTGTCATGGCACAGGTAGGTAACAGATCATACATTTGTACTATTATTATCTTCCTCTTACTGCTAATTTCCCAGGTGAAGCTGAAGTACTAATGATAAGGGGCAGTGAATTCGGTTACAATCATCAATTCGGTTAACATGTGTTTTATAAAGGACTCGCTACTGTGTTATTTTGCCTTTTAAGACACTCTAGAATAAAATTCGACTTTCATTAAAATTTACCAGATATGTTTCGACGGTACACCCGCAGTCAGCAGTGTCACATATTTTGTACTCTTTCTTGAATATAAATCGCGTGCGTTGTTACAAATTTCGTTAACGTGTCTGGTGATTTTAGGAAAGTTGTTTCATAAATGTTGCTGCTTTCGAGACTCCCAAAAACGTTTCCAATTGAAGATCTCCCAACGCCAATTAAAGGAAAATGTGTACATAAGGTTATTAAACTTTCTATTTATCATAGGTATGAATATACAAGTACCAACGTGCTAACCAAAAAATACCCGCTTCTGAGAGGTTAGGAGGCTTTGAAAAACAAGAGTCAATGGTATCTAGATTTTGGCCAGTTGGCTACCGTAAGAACCCTTTAGCAAAGTGCCTCTGATAACTCGACAGTTCCTTCTTGATGAAATGATGGTAGCCCTAAGTAAAGTTAATTTTTCAGAGAAAGCGAAAAACTTAAAGTTCCTTTCTCTTGTAGCTTTCTTCTAAAACTCTGAAGGAAGATCAGAACCAACGAGACCTTCGCTCATTTTTCACTCCGACATCAAGTTCACGGAGAAATAGCTTTTTGGAGAATAACGAAGGCGTCAGTGAGAGGAGTAAGATACAGAAGGGTGTGATGCCAGTGAGTGGCGGCAGTGCTGAGCAGCATATATTTGTTCTGGATAGCGATGATGATGATAACATGTCCATAACATGGGACGATGTGGATGACGACGCTTTCATGTCAGGTACAATATCTTTGCGTATTCGTGCTAGATATTTAGTAGTAAGAGATATTCGTTAGGAATAGCGATGATGACGATATCATGTGTCTAACTTGCGACGATGTGGATGACGACAGCCTTATGTCAGGTGCAATATCTGCCGGTGCATATTTGTGGTAGATATTTAGTATCAGCAGATGTGTGTTCCAGATACGACCATAGGGCCGTAACGTGTCTTTAAACGTGAGATCAACATGATGTTGGCGAAGACACCCAGGTGCAGTATTTGCAGTTTGATAACTTGTTGTTAAACCTTTCATTCTTCCTGGGCTGAGCGGGAAGTGAACAGCAGTTCTATTTTCCTTTTCTTTCCTCTCAAAGTAGCAGGGAAACAAAAACTCCTAAACCTCCTGAACACCAATTTAATATTTTCTGGTCTGAATTTACTGAGATTAATTCCGCTTATTATATTTTCTCCTTAGTATCATTGGAAGTCCCTAAGAGAGATGGGGAGACGGCTGATGAACACAGTAAACAAACCCGCGTGAAGAATGTGGAGGGTGATAACAAGCTTGAAGCTGATGACAAAATTGAAGCCAAAGTCAAACCTGATGCAGAAGAGGAGCACTCCGCTCTCAAACCTAAAAAGTTAAAGTTTAAGAAAGAGAAAGATGGAAAGTTAACTTTTACGAAAAGCAAAAGCTTCACTAAACTTCAAAAGAAAGAATCTGCTTGCGTAAGCTCTTTGAAGTTTGTTGGAGATGATCCTGACACAGAATCACAGACAATGCAAAGCTATTTGGAGGACGCAGTCGAGCCGATAAAAACCACGGATAAAGAGAATTATAGGGAAACGGATGCGTGCAATAGTGGTCCTTCAAATAGGAAAGATCGAGGATTTCTAGCGTCATTACAAGAAGCAGATATAGATTGTGTTGCCCTTGTTTGTAAAACAGCATCAAGCATAACACTACAGAGAAAAAGCGAACTCTTAAGTAATGATACAGCTTTAGAAGCAGGGAATCAAGAAGGATGTGTTGACGGTAGTGAAGTCAAGCTAAAAGAAAAGTATAGTCCATTTGAACAAGAAAGTGTAAGTCCTTTGGAAGCTGAAAAACACTGTGACTCAAAAAAGGATGCGTGTTCCTCACAGACAGAGAGTCTCTCTATTAATGATTCAAGCTTTGTTGATCATAATGAACACAAAAAGCTCCAGGAAACATTTGGAACGACCAAATTGCATCAGAGTGATATTATAACAGAAATCCATCAGCAGCGTGGAATAACTGAACCAGAGGATCATCTGAGCGGGAATCAGACAGTGGAACACTCGGTTTCTGTTCTTAATCCTAGCACAGACACCATAACCCTGGATACAGTAAGCTCTCTCAGTCAGGCCAGAGGCTGTACATCTGAGGATAATCGGGTCTGTTACCCAGAAAAGCAAATGACGAAATGCAATGATAGTATTAGCTCTTTAGATTTATCAAAGCCCTTGCAGCATTTTGGCAACAATGCACTCGACTCATTAAGTCAAAGAGAGGGTGACGAACAAAATAGTCCATCAGCTGTTCTTGAGGAGGATTCGTCCGATGATTTTCAAGCTTCAACTATAAGACAAACCCAGGCTGCTGCAAAAGCGTTTGGTCAGAATTCCAGCAAGTCAAAGAACGGAAAATCTCGCAGAAAGAGAAAAAACAACGGAACAGCAGTTCAAGAGAAGAGGACCCATAGTATATACAAAGAACCACCTAGCTGGTCTTGCAGTGCTTGTACTTTAATCAACGATGGGCAGCTATTGGAATGTTCTATTTGCCTCACACCACGTGTAACTGATGATAGTACTTCTACTAGAGTACACATGGACGCGGATATCGAACATTCTTTTACAAAAAGTCAGCATGTCGCAGAAGTGGAGACTAAAGGTTTGTCAGCCGTGCAGAAAGACTCCAGAAATATCAGCTGTTATAGGGCGAATGGGGAGCTCGGTGATGAAGAAACAACTGCGTCTCTAAATGAAACAGGTGGCAATAATAGAGTGGATGAAAATACTGTTGTTCAGGATTTGTGTAATACTCCTGGAGAAAGATCAGAAAGTAAAGAGAGCGACGTGACGGCGGCTTTAGATGACTCCGGCTTACCTTCATGGTCATGTTCTTTTTGTACATTCTCCAACATGTCTCAAATGATCGAATGTTCCATGTGTTTGACTCCAAGAAGACGAAGTCAGCGAAAAACCACGAGTTCGTACACGCGTCAAGTGGAAAGACGACGGAGCCATGACGTCACCATAAATAGTGACAACATGAGCAGAAAACGACCACGGAAAACAGACCTTGGTAAGATTGATGAGAGCTCATCAGTGGGGAGTAGCCCTATTTTGAATGATGCTGGAGATAACCATCTTTTAGCAGAAACTGAGAAAAACCTGACACCTCAAACAACTAAGTCATCTTATTGCGAATCTAACAGTGTTAGTGATTCAATTGCTGTTTTCGATCACGAGAAGGAGGTCACCATATCTCGGCCAAGAAAAAGGCTGAAACTGGGGGAGTGCGAAGAGGTTAAAAAGGAGGTGATTGACCCTAATGACTTGGTAAACACATCAACTTGTTCATCAGATCGGTCATCAGATGTGATTGTGGAAAAACCACCTGATGATTCAATGAATGGTGACCAAACAGAAACTACCCAGCTTAAAACCGAAAAGCTTCAATGTGGTAATAATGATGTGGTGATGGAGCTAAGTGACCTTTCAGATCATTCGGTTTATAAGGCTGAATGTGAGACGGCTTTGTCAACGCCCTCCTCTGAAATTACAGTGGTTGAAGATTCCAATAGCAAGGTTGTGGAGAATCTCGAAGAACTTAAAGCTGCAGCAGAAGAAATGTTTATGACAGAATGGGATGACTCTGATAACGGCTGGTGGGAGGACGAGGTGGAGGAAGATAGTAGTTCAGGACAAAGCTCTGGTGTGTCCAGTGGTGAAACTACATCAAGCAGTCCATCATCAGCGCAGCTGTCCACTGGATTTACCAAGTGTTCTAACCTGTACTCGGTTCCTGAACTCAGGAACAAGCTTCAGTCAACTCCAGAACAACCAAAGCCAAGTGCAACAACCGAACCATCTGAACTGAATAGTCACTACAAAGTATCTCCTATCGTAGGACAAAAAGACAGTTCTGTAGCTGAATCTGATGCAGCGTTTGAGGAAGAAGAAATTGAAGAACCGGAAGACACTTCTGAGCCAATGAAACTGAAGTTTTGTTTGAGCCTCTACACAGAGCGAGTGTTCTTATACAGCGAGGTAATCATCAGAGTCTTCATTTAGTAAGTTTGCGTTCAAGAGGTTTTTTAAACAGTATAGGAGTGAAATCCCGCTACAATTTTCTTGACTCTGTTACTGTCTAATTCCGCACATATATACATTTCCCTTTTGCTCGCTAACAAGACTTTTCAATACAGTGCTCGGCCATGCAAACACTCAAATAGTTTGCCCTTGGAGGCTAGTCGTCACTTATCAATTTATCATATTATAACTTTACAGCCAAAGCTTAGATTAGGATGCACGAGGAAATTTCGTGCTGTCCACTTCAGTTTTCCTCTCTTCATCTTTTTTTTTTGTTATAGTTTCATTTTGAATATGCCACTTCCGAGTTCCCCCGGGCCTCTGTATCAAAACGAGGTAAAGTGCTCAGCCTTTTATATGGAAATGATTTTTCATTCTCATGCAAATAAAACTAATTTTCACAAGAAAGGTTGTGCACTTGGCCTCATTTTGAAAGAGAAGGTTTTTGGAACTCGGAAGTGACCTATTGCGAAGTGACTTTGGCTTTACGTTGTTAGGATAATAAACCACTGGGAATCAATTTCTGTATGTCGGATGTGATCAACGGAAACACTGAAGATCTACCCAGCATCCTTTATCACGAGTATAATTTGAGTCAGGTGAAGAGGTTCCTCGACGGGTGGAAAAGGTGAGATATGATCCTTTAAACAACTTTATCCAAGCAGAGTCAACGAAATTACATCTCATTGGTGTAAGAATGTGTTTCATCCGATATGCAAACAGCAGGCACCGAGAACTAAGTAGATATATGAGGCGCAGACCATTAATTTAAATCGAGTTCGAGTTGTCTGGATATCAGGCGACATGCTGCGCGGAGTGCCTGATATACTGCAGCTGAGCTGCTGAGCTGTTCAAATGATCAATAATACTTGGAAAAAATGGAACTTTAGTCTGCAAAAATATTACGTTAGTTAGTGTCCAGCATTCAAACTCCTTCAAAGTACTGATTTCCTCTGTTTTCATTTTACTATATATCTGTTTGAGAAATAGTTCATGGATATTGAAAAACACCCTTGGACTGAATGCTGTGTAAGTGAACCGAATTGCCCTAACCTGATTATCATTGCTCCTCTATCAATTTTTTCAAAGTCTTGGCAATATTGTGGTTATGGTTGTCGATGCTAAAGCTGTTTTCCTGATTCACAGGATGGGTGAAGGCAAAAAGCGAGTTCTGCGCAAGTCAGCTCTTGTGTTTGATGATCCTTTGGGAGCTTACGAACAAGCGAGGAAGGTGAGCGCCCCACCTTTTACAGTGAGAGTGTAGTATGCAAGTTGTTTACGTGCTACTCCACAATGGAAGCTCTCAGTGATTCCTCATGCATTTCGGAAACGTTTGCCAAATGCCGTAAAATTCTGGTAATAAACCTTGGGCTTAGACAAGCTCTTAAGGGTATTTGGGTGAGCTTATAGACTCGAAGCCGGATGGGCTTAAAAGCGGAAGTGCCGTAAGCTGGTAAACAAAGAAAAAAAAATTATTGGACACGAAAATTCAGCATCAAAGTAGATGTGTGTGTGTGTGTGTGGGGAGGGGGAGGGAAGGGGGGGTAGCAGTTTTATCGTGAGGGGTGTGAAGCGAAGTGTGTTTTGTGTGCAGGTTGATTGTGGAAGGAGACACGGTGGCGTAAAGTGCTATCGTTAAGGGAGTTGTATAGTTACACAATAGTGTCTGTTTTTTCCTTAAGGGACTGAAAAGAGAATCAAGTTACGTACGGCATCCATCCCAGGTATGACTGACTTAACAGGGTTTGGTTTCATCTTTAGTTCACTTTGTTTTGTTTACAGTTAGGCTTATCTGAATATTTTGTTGCAGGAAACTCGAATTAAAAGAATCATTGATGCAGCAGCAGAAATTGGGGGCAAAGTTAAAGTGGTTAGGAAACCGACAGTTACTACGAAGAAAGCGAAGACAAAAGAGGATGATAAGACCGCCAATAGCAGTACGTATTTAAGCCATATCTTATTACCTGTTTGAAATATTTAATACGGAAACTTTGTTCTCTGTGCCTAAAGGTATATATTTCTCAAGGCTTAGTTGCAGCCCTTTGTGCTTTATCTAAAACAACGTTAACTAGCTATGACTTTTTTTGTGGAGTTGAGTATTTTGTTTTAATCTGTAGACCAGTCCAACCCAACCTCTGCTGATGCTGGCAGTACACGTGATACGACTTGTCACCAAGCTGTAAGGGCTGATGGGATACCTCTGTGCCTGTTCTGCGCAGGCCCAGTGAACTTTGCTGATAAACTGAAATGCCATGATTGGGAGAAAAGGTTCTGTTCACATGACTGCAAGAACGAGTACCAGGTAACTACGCAGTATAAATAATAACCTTATTTTTGTCTGACAAGGTTCTTGACGTAAGTTGCTTTTTTCAACAGGTCCAAAGGTATCACCTTATCTAAACCTGACCCAGTACCGTCCAATAAGGTGTTCAAACGGACCCAGTATGTTGTATCCAGAAGTTTTGGATGACGTTGGACCAATCGCTTGGGTCCGTTTGAACAGGGTTAACATTATGGAGATATTTTTTGAAGGAAAAAAAAGGCGGCGGTGAAAATTCTCACCGCTGGAGACTAACGTGCGCGGAGCCTGAATCAAAACGGTGGACAAAAATCAACCTCCCCACGTTGTTACTTGTAGGTCCCAGTTTTTCAAAAACTTAACAGTGTAATCTATCAGATAAATCTCTATTCAGTATATGCAACTGGTTTCCCTTATACTGTATTTATTCGAATAAGCGCCCAACCTCAAATTAGTGCCCACCTCGAATAAGCGCCCATCCTAAAGACAGAAAAAGTTAATAAGCGCCCAGCCTCGAATAAGTGCCCACCCCCACCCCACCCACTTGGGTGACAATGAGTTTGAAATTGAATAAGTACTAATATAAAGAGGCTTCCCCGAAGACGGAGTTTTTTTTTTTCTGTATGGGTAGTTTACAGAAACCTTGCTTTGTTACATCTTCGCGTTTCTTTATTACTATTTATTGTTTTGTTTCAAAATAAACATACTACACTTGCTAAAAACGGTGAAAATTTAATAAGCGCCCACTCTCAAGGTCAAAAAATTTAATAAGCGCCTAGGGCGGTTAATCGAATAAATACGGTACTTATCCCGGCACTGGATAGACGGAGGTTTATCTTGCGGGTAACTCTATCCAGTTTTGATCAACCGCGAGCAGAAAGCTAATCCTCTTTGTCCTCGCCGTGTCAGGTCCGCGGGAGCGGTACGGCTGCCCGAAGAGCGCTGTTTGAAGCGGAACGAGGTGTGTGCCAGCTGTGTTCCCTGGATGCTCACAGTTTGTTTGTGAATGTCAAAGCGTTGCAGGTTAGAGATCGGCCAGCTTATCTAGCAGAGACGCCTTACGCATCACTACCACAAAAGACCTTGAAAAAGATGGTCATGGAGCCCCAAGAAGGCATGGTAAGAATGATAATAGATTGTACAGCTTACTATGCTGCTTCAATACTTCGTAGACTTGAAGAGTAGCTATTTGACACTAAAAAAGTTAATCAATGAATGCATAAGACATTTAACATGAGTGTGTTTCAAGGTAATAAGAACACGACTTTGAACTCGTTAAGAATTTTCTTCCGACCCTATCTGCGCATCGCAGCCTCTGGTATTGATCGGTCTAGGGAAGACTTGTCTGGGTATTGTTGTCAGCTTCTCTTACTGGTTAGTTCTTACTCTTACATTGAGCCGGTGCGATCGTGTTGCAATTTTCGTCTTTTTGGAAATTATTCACTTATTATGGTCTATAGATCTCAGAAGACTGTGGTTCCGCTCTCTTTTGAGTGGAAATGTGCTTTTCCTGATACTAACCCACTTTCCCCAGTCGCACTCACCGAAATGTGGCGCTTACAGCTTGGTCTACCAGGTTTTAAACTGTTTTTTTTTTTCCATTAAAATTTGATTTTTTAGTTTTGGGAGGCAGACCACATCACACCCGTGTCTGAGGGGGGAGGAGAGTGTGGATTGGACAACTATCGCACTCTGTGTGTCATGTGTCACAGGAAAGTAACTGAGGAATTAAACAAACGATTGAAACAAAGAAAAAATTTACAGTATGCTGCTGGGTATGCTGATATCTCAGCTTTCTTTCGACCTCTTAGCTAAGGCCCGGTTCAGACGCCGCTCCCCTCATGTGCCCAACCTAGCTGATGAATTAAGTACGGCAAAAGAGCGGTGTTTGAATCAATTTGGTACGGTCGTATTAGTTTGGTGCGGCAAAAGGGTTAAGTTCCACAGAGTCTGTCGAACTTTTGTCGAACGGTGCGCTGGAAGTGTCGCTCCAAAGTCGAACTTATTCAATCTGGTTTGGCACATGAAAAGGACGGCGTCTGAACCAGGCGTAATAGTGAAAGCACTCGCTCCTGTGCAAACAGGACGTGGCCTTAGCGACGGAACGGTTGTATCTCACGTGCCAATAGGAACGCTTGAAACTGAAGAAACCAAAAAGGCGCAACCAAAGCATTGCTCACTATATTGCATTTACTATATAGGACTGCAAGTATCTTTCTCCTATTTGTGAATGTGTAATTGTTTAAGTTGTTGTTGCTGGTTGGCATTTTCAGTAACGTTACAGGAAATCAGAATGGACTGGTTATTATTTAAGCTGCCAGAAAATACGGCCAACATTTAGCAATAACGTTACGTTGTAACTTAAGACTGCTAAATATTCATGTTGCAGCAAGGTTTCCCTTCTATTTTTTGAGATATAAAAATGTGTTACGTTAATGTGTGGTATGCTCGCGAAGGAATATTTAGATATCGAACACTAGAATATGATGAACTAGGTTATGTTTTATACAATAGTTTTTAGATTTTTTCAAACAAAAATTTAATTTAGTTTGATACAGTTTTACGTAATATAGATACAATTTTAATTCAAGACGCTAACTAAAAAGGTGTAAATTAGACTTTTTGGAAATGAAAAAATATTGATTAATATATAAATGATATAAACCAAAATTGAAATTTACTTTATATTTTCCTAATATGTATCTATGTGACGAATTGTATTTCTTGTACAGTGAAGGAAGTACCTTATATTTTGCTGCAAATTCGCGACTCTAAGAATTGGAGTTTGTCCGTTAGCACCTACTTTTTATGCTCATTCAGTCCAGTCCATATCGAATAAAAATGGAATGAAAACAAAAATACTGTTTATGATAAACTCAAAGACGCTACAGTTAGTCTCTATTTCAAATTGTTAATTAAAATTCTGAATCTATAAATTGCCTTGTCTTAAATTTCGTCTTAAATGTCTCGCTTCTTACTCGTCTTTTTATTGATTATGATTTCTTAAAAAGAAATGATGTCATTACTCTTTTCTCCTGCATTGATGATCAGGCTTCATGAACTAATTTATTCAGTGAACGCAAAATATTTTCAACTCAAATCCTTTTTCAAGAATCTTAAAATCAAACTTCTTTTTTCTCCTATCGAAAAGGGACCAGCAACTAATGATTAGAAGGCTGGCCAGTGGTAAAGACATAAGTTTGTAGTTGTTCGCGCAATGCCTTTAAAACTTTTCAATATACTATTTGATTAATTCAATCTACATATAAGATATACTTCTGCCCAGTGTTGGTCGAAGAGAAGGGCCTGGTACCGAGTGTCTAAAGGACGGTTCTTTTTGTTGTTGTGTGTCGTCCATTCCACCATCCAGGAGACTGTTTTCTCTTTTAATGCGTTGGATTGTGGCCCTAAGTTGAATGAACTGCCTTGTAAGAAACTTGTCCTGATGCCGCATGTCCGACTGCAGTGTAAATAGTAAAACACGTGTTAGAATAAAGTGCTGGTAAGGCGATATATCTTTTGGAGGGAACGAAGCCAAAAGGCTCTGTGACAAGCCAGTATTTTCGGTGATGCAGTATTTTCAGAGATTCGTTCAAACGTGTCTCTTTGCCTTCCTTAGCTATCTTTGCATTTATTTGAAAGTTTCGTTAAATAGGCGTTGAAGTCAGAGGCCGAATAGTTTGGTTGCTAATTACGGAAATAGTACAGAAGTTACTATGTTATTACTTTCTTAACCGAACAGTTGAGTGGAGTTTTGCTGAATAAGCCATTCTGCTTGTTCTTTGCCCGGCCTTATGTTCATCGGGTTTTAGTTGCTGATCGTGACAGCTAGAATAAGCTGACATTGAGTGTTGATCGGTTTCGTTTGTTTTTGTTTTTATGTGCTTGTAAAAGATCAGATAAATCGTCTCGGGCCATTGATTTCGCAATAATCGTCTAAATTCTTTTCAGTTTTGCTTCTGTTAAAAAAATACCCCTGGGTATATAAAGCGAGAAACTGAAAAGCAAACGTGTATTAAACTAGTTCAAAGTGTAGCAAGTGAGTCGTCATGAGTCAGGAAAAAAAGACAATAATAGGGCACGCATGCCTGGCGGCGCTTGTAGCGGCAAATCCATTGTATTATCACGATCTCATGTAATCCAAACAAGCCCTCACCACAAACAATTACCTACTACAGTAGTAAAATCTAAGCGAACCTCTCTTAGTAAGATAATTTCAGGAATTCCCACTTTTGAAGCCGTGTCTTGTTTGAAGTCTTCGTTCATATTTTCAAATTGAAAACAAGACAAAGGAATGACTGAACAACAATTGTTTAATATTGGTTCTCCTGACAATTTTTAATTTTATTTCGTATATACGTACCAACTCCTTTCGAATCCACACCATGGCTTCTTCTAAACGAGCTTGACGTTCCTGGCTTGTGCCGTCAGACTTAATCGCAGGAACTGAGTCTGCCGCGTTGTTGAGAGGAATTTCTTTGACTTGACTCTGTGATCCTCCAAGTGTGTTCCATGTATATACCTTCATATACGGAAAAGAATGCCGCTTGGCGAGTTGTAAATGCTCAGAATAGTCAATATTCATTTCTTGTCAACTTTATATTGTATAACGTAAAGGCGAAAGCTTTGAGTGAGTCTTTGGTTAAGGCTTCTCCAGCTGATTTTGGATCTAAAAGTTCAAGAACGGTCGCTCTTTATACTGTTGTTGTTTCATTGATCCCGACTGAGAAAGCGAAAGATTTGCATATCAAAATTAAACATACCCTGTGGCTTGACATCTGTCGTAGATAATAATCTTTTCTTTACTTCGTAATTAATGCATGAAGGTGTACTCTACTTTCCTTTTTTTTCTAACAACAGTAAACCTGTGACAAATGTAATTTTTACAGTTTAGAAAAAATTTTACAGGCAGATAGGAAATAATTCACCTTAGCGCGGTTGTATAAGCAATTGAAGTGATCATCTTCAGATTTCTCATAACAGTCAATATATTGTCAGTAGATCGCGCGCAGGTGATGTGCCTAAACGAAGAAAATCGGCCTAAACTGATGTAACACTTAATTCTCATAACTTAGAAAAATACATTTCGAAGTGAAAGAAAATTGTTTTAGAACTGTAATAGGTGAACTGGTAACGGTTTTCCTTTTTAACTGTTGTCATGGATTCGTCTCTGAGAAAATTGTACCTGTTGGCCATACAAACTCCAGCTTTCTAAACGCTCCATATTGCAAAGCTTAATAAAGAGGTTTATTTTTACTTTCCAGACAAAGAGTTAAAGAACACCCATGCAAGATAGCACCCGTCTTTTTTTATTAAAATTGAAATCGCTGCCCAAAGTGCGGCTTTGGTGTTTTAAAGGTGTGCGTGAATTTTGAAACAAACTGCGTCCAGTTAAACTTGAAAAATTCATCACAGCTATACTTAATGCGACTGTGCATTATAGCAGTCCTCTGGAGACATATTTATCTTTTATATGGACGCAATTTTGTGTGAAAAAAGGCTAAACATTCTATCGAAAATAAACAGATGTAAGTGATATTATCTAGGGACTTACTGGGTGTCCATTACCAATTGGTAACCGTAAACTCTAGTCTTTTTCAACTTTAGCTTATCTGTGATAGTTCTGAAAATAATCAGTTTCACTAATCCTCCACCCTTTTCCTCTCTGTCACGAAATCCCAAAATCAACAAAAATTACAAGTTATAACATTAAATTAATTTACAGCTCCAAAAGTCGTGTTTATTCATAAGGTGGTACCAAAAATTTGAGTAATTGATAATAGTGATGTTACATAGATTTATACCTGCCAAGGTCATCAGTTAATGAGAAAGTTACGGTACCTGCGTCTTGCTGACTTTCGCATTGGTCACAGACATCACGTGAGAGGAAGTGCTAGTATGAATCAGTCTACACTTGGTCGGATGTGACGTACCTATCTGAAAATCATATCGGGGCGGATCTATGGGTGTTTTGGGGGGTTCGGTCAAACCACAATAATCTGCATGTCTTACGCCTGCCGTGTCGACAAAACCTTATAAGAATTACATAATACAAAGTAGAACAAATTGAACGCCTGCTTAGCGACTGCCTGACTTTACAAGTATTGATCATAACAATCCTGTTGATCGGGAGTCTGTGTTAATTTAGTTATTTGCATAATAATTCCTGCTGAGAGTGTTCCTTGTGAATTCAGTTTTCCGCGTCCATGAACAGAAACATCAGTCAATGGATCACCGAATACAAACTTGATTGTGCGTTGCCTCTTCCTCTTATTATATATTTTTTTGTGTGTGTTTGTGCAAACAAAACTCCTGATGAGTGAGACACTTTCGTTTGCTCTTAGAATAGCAAAAACCATATTTACGAGGACTAAAGTTCCAAAGTTTTCTGGAGAAGCATTTCTCGCCGCTTTTCTTCAGCTACCAGGTACTCCAAATTCCTTACAATCAAGAGAGGATCCTACATTTGCCCGTCGCCTAATGCACAGAAGGCACTGGAGTGGATGATAATTACTACAATCTGTCCCTTTTCTTTTCACTTTGACAATTACAAACAAAATAGTATATATCCATATTCTAGGGGTTTGTCAAACAAACCGCCCATTTCACTGCCCTGTATTTAAAACTGGTAAAAACAGAATATAAACATTTGTTTGGAACTCAACTACGGTAAAATCCGAAATTTCAAATGTACTACGTTTAATAGTTGTTGTAACGCGCAGATTTAGAAATGTATCTTGTTTCATTAAACTGTGGCCTAAGGCAACTGGCTGCACTGAGAGCAAACTTGAAAAACTTAATACAGGTAGCTAAAATTAAATAGAATTCTTGAGTGAGACAGAAATATAAGAAGATGGCTTTGTTTACATAGCTCGCTCAGCGCCAGAACCCATTATAGCTAATAGGCTCCTACCACCCTAAGGGTAGTTTGTTTTCCGGTTAGGTTTACGGTTTACAGAAAAAGCCTTAAAGGTCCCTCACCTTACCATATAAATAGAAATAAAAAATGTGGATCTTAAAAACTCCCATATTTAGCAAAGCGATTGCGTAAAGAAAGCGCTTTCTCGTCCTTATTAGATGACCAGCTTCGCCCACAACAAAATGCATATTCTCAGTCACGCGCAAAGTTTGTGGAAAACGTAGACGATCTAAGTACAGCTATTTCGTTCACGTCGAGTATTTCCTTCGTTTATCCTGGGTTTGGAATTCTGCAGAACCCTTCATCAGATCTTCAAATGCACTGTACGAAACACTGTTTGAACGCAAGTGAGCTTCTTCGTTACAGACCTCTTCACAATAGTTTTGCGTTAAAGACTTTGCAAGCCGTGTTAGCTGTTTCATGCTTTCCATTACAACTTTAACGTGGGAGCGAAAGCATCCCTCAGCCGATGATTTCCGACCTGTGGTTAACTCTTCTTTAATATCCAGAAGCATATGATAAGTTCCGTATAAACCTGAGTTGTTTAACTCCTCGCTTGGCTTGACGATTGAATTATCATTGGAGTCGGTAGAACATACACAACTTCCGGTAGTCGGTGGTAGTTGATTCTCGTCTGAAATACCAAGAAGGAGATGAGGTACCATGACTGTGTGGCTCATTTCCTCGATCGCATTTAAAAACTCCCCGAAAGAATCGCGCAGGTTATCATTACTTGCCATCTTTTGCTTCGCTGTAATAATAAACGGTCGACACTTGGAAAAAAGCTCTTGCTTAAAACAAGTAACCCTGGTTGTATCCGGATGAAAACCAATCCTCTTCAATCATTCTTGCCTTAGAGTTAAAATCTGACATTTATCACCTATCTTTAAGCCAATAGGAACTTGGTAATTTTAATACGTGGTCTAAAATTGTCAACGACATGACCTTTCTTGTACCCCCTTTGTCCTAACAATTCTCAAATCAAGGAAAGTTTCGATCCAAGTCCTTCTGGAAGATCTCTTGTGACCCATAGGACGGTCCAAGGTTTTCACCTAGGTTTTCGCAATGGTATCACGAGATGTTTCGGTAGATAGCTTTGAAACCAGGGTTTGTACGTACTAGGGGCTACCGACGGGCTGCACGAAAGAGGTCATAGCGTGGTAGGAGTGTAAGACCCGGTGTATCAATTTGCATTTTGTGTGTGATTTTATTTTCCTCGCGGTTTACAACTCATGTTTAAGGCATTTTTCTGCCTTGTACTGCGTCTGGGCCCCTGATCCCAAAGATGTTTTTTAAAAAAATGATCTTTGTGAAATAGCAGCGAAAATTGCTATTTTCAACCAAAATCCTTTATAACAATGAGAATTCTGTTCAATTATCTCACAAGTGCTAATCTCATACGCCTACTTAGGTGGTTTACAGTCGTCAATCAATCCCGAAGGTAATCAACAAAGTCTTATACTGAGGCGGGGGGGGGGGGCGGCCCGAGGTCCAACCCTTAACCTTTTGTGTACCATTTTGAACAGAAACGGTACCCCTTTTGTATACCTTTCATCAACAAATGGTAACCCTTTCACATACCTAGCTTAAAAGATTGTATCCCTTTTGACTGCTGTTAATGTACTGTCTTTAAAATATAAATAAATCACAAAAACATGACATTTACTCGACTTTTTCACCTCCATAAAATTCTTGTGACTTCAACAAGTAAAATCCCTACCCTTTCATATACCTGAAGTCTGATAAAGATACCCCTTTCAGGCGGAAGCTACCCGTATAGGCCATTATAGGACGTCCCCCCCCCCCCCCCGGAAAAAAAAAAAAAAAAAAATAAAAAAATTTTAAAAAACAGCATTTTTTTAAATAAACACCCCCGGGCCCCATTTAAAATTTTGGACCCTTTTTTAAAAAAACTTTTTTTTATAATAAAATTTAAAAAAACAAAAACATATTTTTTGTGTTCCAAAAAAAAACCATTTGCTTTGTTTTTGCTTTTTTTTTTTTGTTAATTTTTTCCCTTTTTTCGCTGTTTATTTTATTTCTTTAAAAAAAAAAAAAAATACAAAAAAAAGAACATTTTCCCCCTTTTTTCCCCCCCCAAAAATTTTTTTGATCCAAAAAAAAAAAACCCCCCCCCTTTTTATATCCCAAAGTTTATAAAAAAACCCCCTTTCGGGGGGAAACACCCCGTTAAGGCCCTTTAAGGGGCCCCCCCCCCCCCCCCCGGGTAATCAATCCAACCAATAACTAATTCGCTTTCAATGTACCGTTTTTATTCGATTAACCGCCCTGGGCGCTTATTAAATTTTTGGACCTGTATGTACATCAATCTCTATTGTACATAATATTTACAGAAGCCAAAACTTCTTTTATGGGTTCCACAAAACTGCCATTTGGCTTGCTTTTCGTATTTTCTTGTCAGTAATAAAGGATTAAATTAACTGCAAGTAACATCTGTAAACCTAAAGAAGGCTGGTATGGCCAGCCGAAATACTGTTATGAAAAAACAATACATGTTGTTCTGAATCAGCTTTGCGGTAGTCTTTGGACTTCTCGTTTTTTGTTTCTTGTCAGTGCATGAAATAGGTCTTTCTTTTATCCTTTCAAAATAGGGCTACTTTGCACAGTTCATCGCAAAAAAAAAAAGAAATAGAAAGAAACAATGTAACAACAACAATATCAATTAAAAATAGATATAAGGTTCTCTAAGCAAAACATGATGTTAATTCATATCACTGATTGGGTGGAGATGATTTCCTGCCAGCCGCAGCATTAAACTTGAGTTTGTTTAAAGCCATTACGAGCTGAGCTATAGTAAAAAATCTGTCTCTTCGTTTACTACTTTTACTTGTTTTCATATCCTCTTTGAGTTGTTGATGTTTAAGTCGTTCCATCTCCCTCTTTTCCCTCTCCACTGTAAGATTCTCACTTGCCTTTAAGATGGCTTTGTCTCGCTGATAGCGTGATACCAATGTCTGAGCTGTAGTGGATGCAGGGCTTGCTGCCTGTCGGAATTTAACAGTATCCTTTGATGGACTCAATCTACCTGACGGCGGCTGTACGCAAGGAAGCTCCAGGTGATTTCTCTTTAGCGTCTTGTTGTCGATACCAGCGGACCCTGTGTTTGCTCGTCGAGTAAGTAGTATTGGGCTGTTTCGTGGGGAGAAAGAAACTCTTGAATATTGATTGGCCGTGAGAGAGTTGCTTTCGAAGCCAAAAGATCCCCTCCGTTTTAACTGCAGTAACGAGTCAGTCTGACTTCTTAGTCTGGCAACGAGTTTACTTTCTCCGCCATAGTCCTGCACGTTACTCCTGAAATCTTTCATAGTTGGATAAATCCAGTTGTTCTTTGGCAGACTTTTTGAAGAACTTGGTCGAAATCGTGGATTATGCGGGATGCTGCTGTGTTCAAGAAAAGCATGAATACATTCTGTACCTTCCGAAAAAGTTTGCGCGCGTTTTCGAAGGCCAAAATTAATATCAGTTTTGGACGGCTGCGACAAAGTCATGTTAAAATGTTCGGTTTTCGTTACTGTGTCAGGCACGCTGGAAAGTAGGCTCTCTTTCCGAGACTCGAAACTTTGTCCGTCGCTCGAAATATTGCTCATTCTTTTCTCCAAACATGGCTGCTTTGTCGGTACGATAGGGAAGCTGTTGTGTGAGGTTAGTCGCGCAGCCAATAGCGAGGAGGTTCTATGCCTTCTAATGTCACTCATGGCTTCTTTTGCTATTTGTTTTTCCTGTAGAATGGTTTTCATCTCTTTGTTGTGTTCCCTCTCAAACCTGTCCATTTCTAACTGCAGCAAATTATCTTCGTTTGCGTTTCTTCGCTTTGCATCTTCATTTCTTTTCGACATAACAAGCCTTCGAGTCATAATGCTTGTGTAATAGAAGACTTTCCAAAAAAAAGAACTATAGACTTTGTAAGTTTGGAGTAACACCTCACAGTGCACTCTTGTACAAGTGGTTTTTTCGTTCAACACGTTACAATGAACAAATGGTAAAAGATGGTTAAGCTAATGTTTTTAAGATGCTAATACGACTTATTTTTGGAAATTTCACAAGGACTTGTGAAGATTTAGATTAAAACCTTTTCTATGTGAATATATATATTGAGATAATCAGTTACTCAGCCAGTTTTTTCCTTCGTTGAGATCTTTGTCTCAAAGCAATTTTTTTAACGAATAATGTTAAATAAAACAAAATAAGTAATTTTCTCGGGTTGGGTGGATAAAAAAGAGATCAGTTCTAGTCTGTCTTAGAAAAATTCAAATAATCGAGTGCTTTGTTATATTCCATGCATATCATGAAACCGCTTCAATTATGGTCGTGGTGTAAATTTGTGAGTAATAACTTCTCGTATAATTTGCCAACGGACTGATTGCTTTAATTGCTAATTGCTTGCTTATGCCGCTTATGCTCTTAGAAAAGCTTTGTCTCCTGATGATGTTCGTTCTAAGAATGACTCCATTTTTCCAAGCCAATTTGTTGATTGTGTGGCAGTCAAGTCTACACCGCTATCTTAAGTAAACTAAAGCTAAGTAATAAAAATTCCCAATTGAAATACGGGCTGATTACTTTGAAAGCAATACTGAATTGAGACGTAGTTGTTAAGTTCTATTACTTTTCCTCTCTAAGAATCTCCCTACAAGAAACGACGTTCATGTGAACAAGAACTGCTTTAAAATTTGGCAAAAGACTGTTTTTTTTTTCGTTAGCTTTAATTTGTTTGTGCCTCTTGTTTGGAATTGCTTACACTACGTAGTTTGAAAGCAAAAGCAATCTGATGCTTTTTGTGTTGGCACCAGTCTCCGCGCAAGGATCTTGGTATTGTCTAGGAAACCAGCGTTAGCGTTGAAAGGTCGGTGATTCCCATAAAAAACCGTTTAATCAAAGCGCATAGCTTACAATAGTTTTTGAATGGTGATCTAACTGTGATGGATAGTTAACGCTAGTAATTTAACCTAAGCTGAATACCTTCAAAACCGTTTTTAGGCAGGAATTTCATTTTTTTCCCATGGATTAAGTTGTTGCTTTGGGTCAATGTATTTAAGTTTATACACCGCTGCACTGCTTAGAACGTGCTTGACGTGATCTATAAAGTATGACTCAAAGCATTTCATTATTTAGTATTTGACGAACTGCCAGGTGTTTGATTTCGTCATGAATTACTCTGTCGAATGATTGATATTATTACTCACTCAAAATGCGATTTTAGAAGGAGAATTTAGGATGCACAAGTTGTTTATCAGATTTCCAAACACTCATTAAACATTAATTTCCCTTAGTGTATTTTCACCATATATTATGTTAATGAGTTGAGAGAAATTTTTCAATCGCCTTCCTTGACTGATACTTTTATGTCGTAGACCTAATTTAGCTAAACACGAAAACATGCATCTGTATGTTAATGGGCCACAAAATGTCTGGTTCGGCAAAGTTCAGTCACTCCATCAATTTTCTTTGAATGCTTTATTACAGCGATTTGGCGATTAATTGTTCTTTTTCTTTGTTAACGCTTTAAATAAACAAATTACAGAAGGACATTCTCTGTCAGCCAAATCATCAAAAGTAGATTGGAAATTTTAATTACGGGATTACTTACAAAAACAATCAGAAATTAGGCGGCGGATCATTTTCTGTTCTATTTCTCAAATATGTGCAGTGTCGCAGTTCCTCAAAAAGTCCTGCGTCAGCTTCATTTTCTTTCCTGTCGAGAAAAGGTGTTGGAACTGCTTTACTTTCAAGTGGACGGTTGACACTCTTGGCAGACCTTGTTACTCCATAATGAATCTCTTTTGGTTTTGCCTCTCTATTTACCATGTCTGGCTCGAAAGGAAGCGAAGAACTTCGTGTTCTCTTGACAATAGATTTTGGCCGAACTTTATGGGGATCCGATGCCCTTCTTGACTCTGTTTCCATGGTTACGCCAAGGTGACTTGGTGTGTGACTACTCCTTCTTGGATTCTTGGTATCTTGGTTACCATGGGTACAGATTTCTTTCTCGTCGTTATCCATAACCCAGTTGTTTTTTGAATGATGACTTCTGCGACCTGACTGTGGACTTAATTTGACTCTTATATTTGACAGGTTATCGGACCGTGCTTTTGATATTGGGAGGTCGGAAATGGATAGCCTATAAAGGTTGTTACGGACCTTATAATGGCTAGTCCCACTGGAAGATTCTTTGGGAGAACTCGACAAGTTGGATAATAGTGAAGTTTCAGTCGGTGACGCGGGCTTGGCATAAGCTTGCTTTGGTAGTGAAGATGACATGGTAGTTCTTGGAAATGCTCGGATTTCTTTCGGGCTTCCGGGAAGAAACGTGGGGCGATGTGGTACAGAATGCCGTCGGGTTCTTGTTTGACTACTTCTTGGGACTTCGAGAAGATCTGAACGGTTGAAAGGAATCCCTGGTATAGATGTTCTGTGGTTATCCGACTTAAGATCTTTCTTGTCAGACGCTGGACTTTCTTGTTGAGTAAGGGGTTCATTCTCGCTTCCCTCTACTTGCGCGTCGTGCACTAAATTGAGTTTCGCCTGCATTTTCTCCTGCTTCAAATTCCTCATGGAATAACGAACCTTTTCTTGCATGCTCTGAATTTCCGCCAAACGAGTCGCGCATTCCTTGTCAAACTTTTCAAACGTTTGTCGAAGTCGGTTGCTATCACGGGAGACCAGATCTCGGATCCGTTTGTTGAATTCAATCTTAGAAACAGCTCTCTTGTTTTGTGCCATGTTTTTCTCCAACATCACTTAACAATGATGTAGGTAAAAAATGTATCTGATTTTCTTCACAAAACACCCTTTTCTAAGAGCCGTCAGTAAAGAACCTCTATCAGTCTCATCTGTATTGCTGTCACGTTTGTTTTATACGCAAGCCCTATTACCGCGATCTTGTATCTATATTCGTAGCTTTTGATGAAAAGAAACCTGACAGATACGTCATTCAGTTTACTAGTTATTATAAGCAGTTCAGGACCAATTTATTATCTGAGCAAACGCAATTTTCCATAAACAAACAAAAACTTGTCAGTGCAGGTCTATCTAGGTATTTGTTTCTAAAAAAACACTGAATAGCAGATTAATAATGAGCCCCGAGTAATTAAAAAACTAATTTTGCTGAATAGTTTTTATTGAGACAACATTGGGACAAACAACAGCTTCCTGCGGACCTGCATAACGAATTTCTGTGACGTGAACACAAGTGCAACAAATACTAGTCTAAAAGTAGTTTGTACACACTGCATGACTCCGGCCTTGAGGAGTCAAGTAATAAGGGCTGGTTGGGCTCGTGGCACTGGTAACAGAAACCTGTGAATTAGTTGGACTGAAAGGACGCTTTTAACATATTCAAAGTCTGTATAATAAAAACACCAATATAGTTAATCCGTTGTTAAACAGATCGGTCAACCATGCAGTATTTTCGACTGAACTTGATAGTTGATCCAGGTCGTTTTCGATTTCTGTGTATTAAAGGGCGGACATATACCACATGCTGATTTGGGGTCCCTTTATATTCGTTTTTCAATGAAGTAAATAGCTTATCAGAAACTTATTCCTATTTTGCGCCTTTTCTTATTTACAGTCCAAAGTCTTTGACTTTTTTTTGTAAGAGCACCTTCTAATAAGTGTGACTTGCTAATTATAAGCTGCGGTAGAAGCCCGTTTTAAGTTTTTCTTGTACCGCTGTTTTCTGTATGTCGTTTTGCAATAATTATAGATGCCTATTTTCGTTAATAATTTTGTTTGGGTGACTCTCAAAGTAACTTCCTTTGACGATAGTCCCTCGACTGGATCAGACGAAAGTTTCTGTTGATTTGTTGTTTTCTTAGCACAAACACAATGGATCAAACTCGGCTAGAGGTTTTGTTTGCTGTTACAGCACATGTCTCTATTACTAGAGTAATTCTTCAGATTCTTCGACCTTTTCGTGGTAAGGATTTTATTTTTAACACTGGGGCTACCTTCTTTTGTACAAGCGAAGATTACAGGAACAATGAAATAACACTCCTTACCTGAAAGCACTATATTAATTCTTTCTCTTACTTTGCCTTTACTAACAAGGTAATTGTGTTCCGTTCTTTTTATTATTAGCACAAAGCCAGTTTTAATGTAATATTTAACAAAAATAATGACCAATTATACTTAAATTAGTCACTGGAAACAAAAGCTTTAAATCCAGTATTTAAACAACAAATCGAATGCGCGGTGGTACAAGAAAAAGAAGGGGTTTTTAACAGGTAACTAGAACCTTTGCTTTCGCAGTTTTTCTTTTTGTCGGTCAGGACGGGTGAGAGTAATGGAAATCGACTATGAAAATGGAAGAACAAGAAGAAAGATCTGCAAGAGCGATTTGCCAATTAATTTACCAAGTCTAGCAACATCTTATGTTCAACAGAATAACGACCTAAGAAAAACCCTTCGTCGCTTTGAACGAGAAAAGCAGAAGAACCTGAAGACCATCGATAGCGATATTTTGGACTTACACAAGTTCTTGGGAGATTTGAAATGCGTAATTTCGTTTCCGATAGAAAAGAATTTTTCGCTGGTTGCAACATCTGAGGAACTTCATATGGAGGCAGCAACCGAAGAGAAGCAAAATGAATACAGTAATAAAACACCTTCTACAACATCACTACGGACCTCTGACACTGTGCAGAAAATAGAAAGCGACCAAACACACACATTGTTCACTATAGCACCAAAACCAAGGCCATGTACTGATGTTTTGATTCAGCAAAGTGAAACTGGCTATGGCATCCAAACAGCTTTGGTCCGAAGTTTCCGAAGGCGGAGCTTAAGCGTTGGTGAAATGTGTTCAGGAACATTGAATCACCTAAGTTCCTCTGTTAGCTATAATCAGCCATTACTCCAGAGAAGAAAATCTTATGCAGGAAACGACTCAAGAAACATTCCAGTGGAATACCATTACAAATGGAAAATGGGCGTTGGTAAAACTGCTTTCAACGGTAACACCAGAAACCTTAGTCAACAAGCACCGTGTACAGGAGAAAGATTAGAAGAAAGCAAGTTAAATGGACAAACTGAGAAAAAGAGAAAATGTTCTATCTCGTTTTCAAGACCTCCATCAACAGTTGTGGAAGAACCAAGAGCAAATGAAACAATCCAACAGAAAGGTCATTCAAGGTCTAATTCGCCATCCTCTATTCGAAACAAAATACCAGAAGTTAGGAATTATGACGATGGAATATTAATGTCACTCGGAAACTATTTTAAAATATCACCCATAGAATCAAGGAAGCAAACGGAAACCAAAAACTTGCTCGCTCCTCAACTTCAAAGACCCGTTTTGCCTTTTGCAGGAAAGGATTCTCTAAAAACGTTCTGAATAAAGACACGTTTTACACAGAAACACGGTCTAGCCTATTACGAAAACAAAGTACCAAGGATTTAGGAATTGGGCTTAGTGTAAAGCAAAGGGACAAAGCGTAAATGGTTTTGTGTGTAGACAACAAAGTATTAGGCCAGACAGCAGACAGCAGACTTAACTCCTTGGACTACTCAATATCCAGGGTTTAATTGCTTCTTTATTTATCACTTGTACTTCGTATTAAAACGGAGTCGGTAAATTAAACGGTTCTATTGTGCGGTAAAGCCGATAAGCAATATCACATACAATAACTTTCATCACAGTGACAGGGGCGTTTTTTAAGGCTTCATGTAAGGATTTGATGACGACTTGCTATTTTGTGTACAAGTTTTCTCACTCTTTTGCTTTTGCTAATGAATTAATTTATATATTTATGTTGTTCATCGAACGGTAAAATTTTTTATTAGTATACACGTTTTTATCACTCCGTTGTAGTTGTAATGAAGTATATTATTGATTACAAAAAGGGAAAGGCGTGCCTCCTTGCCACTTTATTGCTCAGAACGTCGCTTACTCGACCAGTAATAATTTTAACCTGGTAACACTGTCCTGGTTACAGTTAAGAGTAACCTTCACGCCGGAATAAAACACTTAAAAAGCTAAAGCACTGTAAAAATAATTTGTGGTTTACTGTTGAGCTGACCCTGACATGTACGACTTTATCGGACTTTATCTCAAACACAGTCGCTGTACAATATATTTGCAGTTTATATAAAGTGCAAGTCAAATTTGTGGAACCAAGATGGAAAGGTGTTACTTGTTGGGCCAGACAGAAACAACTGAAGTTTAAGAACTACACTTTAAAAGTTTTCGTTTTTATTTGAATTCGCATGGATATTTGAGACTAATTAAAAACAGCGGAAAATTCCTCTCCATCTCTGACTGACAGATATTTATTATTGCTCCCAGTATTTTGCACTTTAGCATCTTTCCGCTTTTATTTTGATAAGTCGCTCTTCTGACGCCAAATCGTTCAACTGAAGTTCATTTTTATTTGAAAACTAACACAGCACGTAAACCGTTTGCCTTTGGTTGCTTCAGTAAATAATTCAGCAACAGTTAAACATAAAACCTTGAGAGGCGTGTTTTTAAGCAGAATCAGAATTATAATTCTTACCGAGACCTAATCAGACTATATTGGTTTTCTAAACGGCGGTTGGTATCAATCTTAACAGGAATTAAAGAAGTCTAAAGTTAACGATTTTGATTCTAAACAACCATTTTTCTCTTAGGAGATCTTAAAGCGTATTTCTTCCTGTTACATATTTGAAATTGTCACAACTGCCAATCGTCGATAATCATATTGACAAAAGACAATTTTGAATTTGTGAGGAGAGACGTATATTTGCTTTACTGATTCACTGAAATTTTCAGCTGCAGTTTCTAGACGGCCGACTGCATAATTTTACTGCCTATATGAGAAAGATAATGCAAATGGTAGAGAACCTTCATTACTTTTCGGCTGTGGATGACTCTATATTTGACAGGTTTATGTCACGAAAAGGATGTAAAAGCCGGAATAATACCCTGCAAGGCAAATAACCTTTTAGTGATGCAGGTGGTTTATTGTAGCTGCTGCACTTAAGCTCAGCATGGGACGGTCAGTATCACCATCACCCAACTGCACTAAACACTGACATAAAAACGACAGAAATTTGCATCTAACAAAAATAACATTTGCGATATCTTGAATTTCTTCAGAAAGTAATACAAGGAAACGTATGTTGAAAAAAAAGAAACATTGAAATGGGTGTACGTTGTGAACTTCTTAAATGTGATTAATCGAGCTAAATATCACTGTAAACAAGAAATTGGACCATGTCTTCGCATAACAGCAGCAAGGATGGTGAGCGAGTAGGATCCGCCAGAAAGCGAATTTCCACTTTAAATGGCCACGAAGATCATCTTCTTCGTCGTAGAATACACACTTATCAGAAAATGCATGATAAGGAGATCGCTGAAGTTGCAAGCCAACTTGAAGAGATCCGAGATTCAATGAAAGCACTCGTAACAGATCCACTTTATGGAACTCACGCATTGATCAACACAGGGATTGAACACGAAAACTCTTACAAAAGCCCAGTGATTAATCAACAACGGAAGTCGATGCTCCGACGAACTCAGAGTTTTCCAGAGTTGTTAGATAGTTCAAGCGACGACAGTGTTCGGCGTACAAATCCTTCGCCATTTCCTGCTCTTAAAATGGAACACCTACGCGTTCATCACGCCGCTCCTCTTGTGACTCATAAAAGATCTGGCGAAGCAAAGTCGAGTTCGATCGGTTCGCATTTCGTTAACCCGAGCATTCAGTCTGGGAAAGAAGCACTCAACTGGCACAACAATGAACATAAAAAGCTTGAAAGGTCCAAAACAGCTCCAGTAGCATTGCTACAACCACTTCTGAGAACTACTCCGGAAATGATGAGAAAAAAAATCCATATTTCCACCTCAAACAAGTTAAGCACTGAGCCGGAGGTTTCGGCTAGAAGAGGTGTGTCGCCACGTTTTGTAGATCCGAACGCTATGACCCATAATGCATCCCATTTGCAGACAAATCAGCCTGGTGTGAGAAATCATATTCCGGCTCGAGGTATAGTCAGCTCAGATTCTCTTTTAAGGGGACAACAAACGTCTGATTCTTGGTACAAATCCAGGTTACAGCCGGGTAAGCCCGTTGTAAAAACTTACCCCACCAATATGGTTCCTGCAGAGGACGGGCAAAATGACGCTGTTTCTGTGTCGCTTCAAGCCGTAAAGAATCGAGGGCATAAGTCCCCATTAAAAGGTATTTCCAGACCTCTTAGTAAATTCAAACAAGAACTTTTTAAGGTTAATTGCGGCAACGAAAAAGAAGCTGACGAAGTGGATGATTTAAAAACTTGTCGGTCCTTGCGATTCACGAAAGAGAGTCAAGAAAGTAATCGAATCTAGCTTGTGAATGGAAAAAGACTGAGTTTTAAATATTCCGAATTCGGGAGCAAACTTAAATGTTTTAAAGAAACGACGCCAAACTAACTAACCCTAGAGGAAGGAGTATTTCAGGTAACTAAACCGTTGTATAGCTATCTTAATTAGAAGTGCGGAGCTTGTTTTAGATCGAGAGTATCGTTCATCAATCTGCAAAGTGAAATTTGAAAAGCCGCGAAAAGATACAGTGAAAAAACACCACCACAAGCAGATGATATAATATATGTAACTAGGAAAGGATTAAAGCGGAGCTCCCTTTCCAGACTGACCGTTAACTTGAAACTAACTATAACCCCTAAACCGCTGCAAACGGGGAATTCATGAATCTATATATCTTAAAGTTTAGTAGATTTCCATCAAATAAATTAAGAGAGCAAACGGGCTCTGAACTTACGGTGGGTTTCTCTATTCTATAGATGAACTCAGAAAATTATTGTTCCCAATTTTCCGTATTTTGATTCAAGAAAGCAGTTAAGACTATTTTCAAAAACTAAAATTTTTTTATATAAACACCAATGAAATAACGGGTGAACTTTCGCCCGACAACCTGTTATCTTTACACGTGAAAAGATTACCGTTGCTATAGTTATAATGAATCACCCCTTTCGCGGCGAAAAATGTTGAAGTGAAATGGTTTGGTATTTCATTATTGCTTATATAATACATGTAATAAGAGTATGTCAGCTTGTTTTTAATTTAGAGCAGACGCGTACAGTTCGTATTTAGAGCGTATGATATAATGGCTCATACACCATGATGGCTAAGCCAATCAGCGCTCTAGAATTGCATTATCCAATGATTCAGTCTTTAATAATTATTATTTTATTTTATCTTTTTGGGAATGTTAATATTAGATGGAATTACAGGACATTGACTTTGAGTAGAGAGAGGACTTGCGATGTACCTGTTTTGCAACTTACTTACTTAATTAATCAACTAATTAATTTACTTTTATTGAATTGATTATTCCATAAAAATACGATCAATCTTTACGAGACTGAGAACAAGGGTGGGCCGAGTATTACAAACCTTGCAGGACAGGTTTATTGATGGATACTGAGTCAGATGCCTAGCTACTGAAAGATAATACATCCGCGTGAGGAGGGTCTACACATATTCTCTCTCATAAAACATTATTCCAAGTTGATTTGAGTTTAGAAAAAGTTTCCCCTTCAACACAATTCTGTTTCCTTATATCCGGACTATTTTTTCAGATTTACTGAATAAAGCATGGTGTATCTATGTTCCTGATCTGGAAGACAAATTGCTTGCTTGAGATTTACTGTTGCAAAGAAGGTTACTTAGTGTTTCCATTACGCAATCACTGAAACACTTAGTAGGGATATAAACCAAAGCTTTTCGGCTTTCAGTGTAATTCGTATAAGTGGTATGAGTGTATCTGACTATTTGAACTTAAAGGAAAATAGTGTCACTGTTATGTTATGGTCGATGAGATCTATGCATTTTTGATCTCCGAAGTGCTATCCAATAATGTGCGAAATACAGCTTAATGCGTTCAAAATTAGAAGATACAGTTCTGAATAAAAACTTTAAAGGAATGAAACTACTAGACATTGATAGTTGTCTTAAGTTAATTTTTTTTCTTTGACTATGTTTTATGGTGACCTTTACCTACACCAAAAGGATGCTCATTTTTTCTCGTTTTTATAGTGAAATTTTTGTGTGGATTGAGCTCTGTTATTGCCCACTCGCTGACATAATTTCTTCACCTGCAAAACCTTCATTTGGCGCGAAGACATAATATGCAAATACACTAAAGTTGTTATTTCAGTTAACAGTTGTCGGTCGTAATTTCCTGGCAATAACAGCTATTTAATTTGCAATTTTTAAATGGACTTGGGCCAAAAAACACTTACGAACAATCACTGTGAAAACAGGACATGATATTTGAATAGCAAGTCCATTATCAGTCAAAAAAATTTTACCAGCTATTTTAATTAAGCGTAATTTAACTTCGAAATAAATTGCATGGATAAAGGTATTACACACTTTTCGAGATAAATTATTCATCCTAAGTAAATAAAATGTGATCGACGCTGCAATTTTGAAGAAAATATTGACCTATGAGTAACCTATTCAGTATTTTGGCCGGTCCTGCATGATTAAGGCTGATGGCTTGACTGTCCCAACCATAAAGCAAAACATTTCCTACAGAACAGGATCTTCCAGAAAATATCAGCGCCAGTTTTCAATAACGTTCACTGTAAATTTACGCCGTTTTTTCCTTACCAAGAACCATGCAAAGACCCTCCTTCATTCCACAAACGATGTGGCAAGACATTGCTTGCGTTGGTATCCAGTATTTTTGATGGATTCAAGGAAAGTGAAGGACTTCAGTTTACAAGGCCAAAAGGCTTCTCCAGCTTATTTTCACGAACGGTCAAAGTTAAGGAAACGTCTTGATGGGTATGAAAGAGAAAAAGAGAAATGTCTGAGAAAAATATCAGATAGGCAGGATACACTGATGAACGTGTTAGTCAACCAACGAAGCGTGCCTGAAGAACTGAGCGTGGAAACCAAGACTCACACAGAAGCTTTTCCTAGCCGCCTACGACGTAACACGATATCGACACTTGCTTCTGAAAATCCGACCAATATGGAAATTTATTCCAGTCAGCTCGAGCTCCGAAAATTATCCATTAGCAGTGATTCAAGATACAGAAATTTGTCGTCTTATTCCACACAGACAATAAACGAGAATAAGGTGGTCCGGAAATTAAGCGATCCGCTAGAATTTGCAGATCACAGAAAGCTAACTGTCCGACCCAAGAGAAAACTTACAACCGGTCAAATTGAGTTGGCGGTGTCATCAAAGGGAGTTTGCCAATATTCTTTTCGTGAAGATACAATGAAATACGATTTGTTAAAAAATCAAAGTATAAAATCGGATGTTATGGAATTCTCACTTCAACAAGTGAGGGGCTCAAACGAGTCTGTCCTAACTCAGTCAAGATCAGAACATAAAGATTCAAAAGTAATTTTAGCGTCTTACCCGTCTTCAGTTGCTAATATGCAGTTTAATAAGACAGGCGCTCAAGTACAAAGTAAACATTTAAAGGAGGCTATGATTAACACCCCAAAAAAACTTCTTCATCAAAGGCCAAGCACATCAAACGAGTTTTTCCCCAATTTCCAAGGAATGAAAAGTGTTTTGAGCAAGGAAACTGAAATGTTAAATACAGAAGCTCAAAATGATATTCATAAAATAACACCTGCGGCAATATCCCCAGTTATAGAGAGACAACTTTATTCAGTATCAGAATCGTCAACTAAAAACTTCGAAACTCTGCAGCATCTCCCGGCTAACTGCGATGGTAAACTAAATTTAATGGAAAGTGAAAGCGGCCCAGGAGAGGGCAGTAAATTCGTGTTAAGGCGGAAAAAGAGGATATCGACGGATATCAGCAAAAGGCATTTGCATGAACAAACAATCTTAATATCTCAAGCAGGTGCAACTCCAGCTGTTGGTTTCCATAGAAACGCTTGGAGTGCGGAGACTAATTCTCCTCGAAGGAAAATATCAACCGTTAAAGCTCCTGAAGGAATTATTGATCACGTGCCCTTATCTCGTCAACGAAGTGATGATGCATCGAGCCTGTCAAAGGAAACGCAACGAAATTTTGAAGCACTACGGAATTTTCGTCGTTTAGCGCTGGTCGCCGTCGCGGCAGAGAGATTCCGTTCTAATACCCTTGAATCGCACTCAGAAGACCGTGAAGTAACAGTTGCGAAACGGAAGTTGTCGTCAAAATCAAGATTAGAAGATTTACAAAGACCGACTGAAAGTTACCTAAGGCAAATTGTAGCTGACGAAGATTTTACACCAGTCCTCAAGACAAGGAGTAGGTCACTGGGCGCAGTGACTCATGGGAAAACATCAGTCAGCGGTATCGCCAAGTTTCGACGAGTTACTCAGGCTGCCATGGCAACGCAAATTTTACTCGAAAGGGAAAGTAGAAAAGAAACGAAGGGTAGGTTCTCGAGTGTGGAATCTCGTCAGGAAATAAATCGGGAAAAATCCCTCGCTGAAATGATGAACGAGTTAAAGGACTGTAGATACTTGAGAACTGGTTCTATATCAAAGCAGGACTAGTATCACTCATTCAAATATTAATTTGGTGGATTGATTCCCGGCCAGTTAATCAAGAATCAGTTTCTGTCTTCCAACACCGCTATTGTCGTTTTCTTGTCTTATTCTGTAAGGTTGTAAAGCTGTTTGCTTGTTGTTTTTGATATTCTGAAGATTTGCCCTCCATAAAAAAACGCGTCCATGAATTACATTTAAACTTCTGAAGGAGTGGCTATTTGTATCTTATTCTATATCAAAGTAATAGCGCGAGCGAAGACAAGTGACACGTGATGACAAAATGTCTTTAAATATTAAAAAAAAGGTATCCAAACAACGGTGTTTCTCGAAACAAGAACATCGTTATTTTTATTATACCTTTTTACTTTCAAGGTGATTTTTTTGTTGTTGTTGTTTTGCATATTACACTTCCTTGCTGCTGTTTCCGTTTTAAGAAAACGCATAAATTTAAAGCTCCTCCAACAAAGCCACAGGATGTTTGATTCTAGGAGCTTTACGTTGTTGAATTTCAACGCTAAAAATTTAAACTTCCTTTAAAATAAGGTTCTTATTAGAATCTCCTTTTACAGTTGACATAGAACTCTTGTCACTGATCGATCAGTTGGACGTTCTGTAGTTTTTCACAGCAAAGTGTTGTTTCCAGAAGCTTTTGATTTATTGTATCAAAAGCGCCTTTCGAGCAGAAGTTTGAATTTTAATGTAACATAAGACGTAAACATCTTGAGGCTGTTGATATGACTTGTGTACTCAAGATGATAGGCCGCAATTTTTTTTCATCAAAAATGTCGTTTATTTAGATGACGATGAAGATGCCTCGAAAAAGGGATTAAATAGAAACATCTAGATCGTAGAATCTTAGGTCAAAATAGAACGAAACATGAGAGAGGAAGAAAAAATGTTCTAGTATTTTTGTGAAGTTGCCAGTGAAAATGACAGGTTGAAAAGACTGACATCATTTGACGTGTGAGAACAGGTGTAATGATAAAAGGGCTGTAATATCGCTGCACTGCAGATTTGTCATGGTTTTCGTTTGTAGACCTCTGCGACCACAAGAAAATTAGTGTTAATTCTGACTTCAATACAAAATTACTTTAAAAAGCCGCGAGTGTATGTTGAAAAAACACCAGTTGATTAACCGTAGCTGCTGAAGAAACCCGGATGTCATGAATCGCACAGTGGTTAGAACGCCGCGTAGTGTAAATCGTGGAGTGCGCAACAGTCTCTCACAATCGTTTAACGACTTGAGCTGCAGCCAAGAACTTTACGCAATTACTTCTTCATTAGCATCGCCTTCTGGAAATGAAAAAGAAAAATGCGCTTCTTTTCCCAGCATTGCGTTGCCAAAACTCTCCTCGGTAATTGAAAAGGATGACTTTCATTGCCATTTGAGCTCGACATTACCGCGAGTAGAGACAGTAGCATATACCGGGACTTCAATTAAACAAGCGCAATTGAACCAAAAAAGGCCAAAATCGTGTACAGCTCGTGTTCAATCGCCGACTTCGAGTTCCTCTCCTCTGAGAACCCCGGAAATACTGCGAAGAAACAGAAGGCCTCGACCGTCTCTACCTTTGGCGATAAACAGTGATCACTTTCATAACCCTCCGTCATCCCCTACATTGAGGACAAAGTCTCCAAATCATGCTTTTTATTCTAAGCCTCTCAACCTGTCAAAATCAGCTGCAGTTGAAGAAACAGAATTGGTGGATCAGGTACGACAGCGAAGGAGTCAGGATGTCCGCACAACTGACGGGTTGTGTTCTACTCCTCCGATGTCTCCAGCATTGCTTCGAAAATTTGAAAATTCTGACAAAACAGTAAGAAAAGCGAAGAATTTGATCGATGATTACAAACGATCAAATCAGCATCATCGTAGACAGCAAGAAGAAAGAAAATCTCTAGCCGAAGCTATGGAAGAAGTTAAAAACTGTCGTTATTTACGAATAGTTAAGACAAAGGATACATGTGGCACACTTAAAGAGAAAGCAGGTGATTAAACATCCATTATAGGGCCGTTTTAATAATTGATAATGGGGAATTCTTAGCTTCTGATATCTGAAGACTGGTACAGTACTCTACAGTTCTTTTTTTGGTTGTTATAAAACTGTTGTTGGCGACTGAGCTTTTGTTTTGACTGTGCCGTTCTAAACCGTTATGTGATTTGGTGATTGTGTGGCATCCACAACACCAGAATCTGCCTTTCTTCGTACGGATTAACTTATTCTGACAGCATTCATCAAAAGTTATATGATATGGAGTATGGAGTATACTGCCGATAAGTCGAAATATTTCTTATAATAAACTAACTGTATAAGTTTATACCAACCCTCACTTGTACCGTTGTCGCTATTGACTAGGCGATTGAGGGCTTTGTCATATTCAGCGTAATATAATGGAAACTAATAGGGACGCATTTTACGGTTCATTTTGATGGAACAATCAGTTTTCTTTAACTACGGCAGGTAGGAAAACCGACTGCACAAACTTCAACTGTCTTTCCTTTACACATCATATTTTAACATACCAAGGACATAAATTTACGATACATAACACCAGGAAAATAATAAAAAAACTTCCTTATGAGCAAATGTTACGTCTTTGTTTTAGGAGTATGTAGAAGGCAAACTTGTGTTTTCTTTTTGTTGTTGTTGCAGTTTTGCTCGTCCTAACTCTACATGTTCCTTCTGATCTTGTCGGGCAAACCATGTGATGAAAATATCTTTTTTTTGAAAGAGCTCCAGTAAGGGTTTTCCTTGCTAGTGGCATTCCATCCTGATGAATCCGCAGGGCAAATCACATATCTACCGACCGATACAAGAAGCTTATTTTGTCTCAGTTCTAAAGTAATAAAGTAACAAACATAGATATTCAGTTACACTATGGGTGTAGCTTCAGTCACGTGAATGGGTTCGATCTTTTTTGTACTTACTATGTTCAAAACAACCTCAACTAAACTATTCAAAGCCTTTTTCCTATTTTAGGAACTTTATGCAAAAGCGATAACGTCAACAAACTGAAATAAATTTGTTTTGGCGGCGGTTTTTTCTTATCTAACCAAAAAAATGATAAAAATGATTAAAAGATCATTGTGACCATGATGCTTGTCTGTTCCTCTACCGGATCACAAGCAACAGGCCGATCAAGACTGATGCTAGTAGTACATGATGAGTTTCATGTCATTTCTGATAACCGACGGTATTTAAGATAATACTGTTTTGCCGATTCATGTTCATGTTAGTTTAATATTCGGCCAATATCCTTAAATGAGCAACCAGCGTAACAATATCCATTGATAGCTAGCTGCCTGCTGAGTCATAACGCGTGTTAATCATTAAAAAAAACACATAAAACAGCATTCAAATTACCGTAATGCCAAATCAGAGCAAGTCGGTTATAGAGCAACATCATTATGGCTCCTCATTACAAACTAACCTACTTTAACTTACGAGCACGAGCTGAGCCCGTGAGACTTGTTTTTGCCTACGCTGGAGTAGACTATGAAGACAACAGAATAAGCTGGGAAAACAAAGCCGAACAGTGGATACCACTAAAAAACAGTAAGTAATTTCACACTTAAAAACCCGCATACATCACTGTGATCTCAAGTAATCTTCGTTTGCAAGATTTAGCTTTGAGGACCTGAAAGCAATGTTCAGTACAATACAAGCGTACTAATAATTCAAAAGCAAACTTAATTTAAAACACGAGCCGTCACCGTTAAACCTATTATAGGCAAAAACCAACAACGTGACTTTAGGAATTAAGCGTGTAGTGTTCAGTACTCGATGGAAAGGAAGTCGACTAAACGGCGTTTAAACCGGCCGTAGGACACAGAGTGGCTATATATGAACTAAAGGTAAGGGAGCTTTTGGAATCAATATTTCGCGTGATCATGATTTTTTTTTCTTAGCGTTGTAGATTCGAATACATGTGATAAAATTTGAACAATAAGGGCCCGAATCACATGTAATAATGCAAGAAATATCGACCTTCGTTATCTTTAATACTACTAGTACAGATAGACAAACAAGAAGACTTCATATCTTTAAGACTTTTTGCATTTATTTGGCATAATACACTAATAATTCTAGTATATTCCGACCAAATGACCTCTGAAGCCCGAACCCACACATAGTGCGCTTGGACTGCCTGTGACCGGATATGCAGATGGAAAACTTGGTCGCGTGGTACAAATTCACGTTTGCCGTTTACCGTAAACGCGATGCTTAACCTCTCTATTAATATTTTTAATTATAAAGATAACTGATAAGAAAAGGACATTTGGGTCATATCAACTAAATTGAACTTAAGAGTTTCTTTAGTCCGATCACGTTAAAGCACTGTGATGAAATTTTGCATTGAGAGTTTCTGTATTTACAGGTGGAAAATGTCCATTTGGTCAAATTCCTCTTCTTGAAGTTGAGGGTGTTACACTATGTCAGTCAATGGCCATACTCCGATTCGTGGCTAGACGATACGGTATGTATCAGTTCTTCATGATATGAATACTGAGAAAACGGTCAATACAAATGGTAGGGGTCCAATTTGGTCAGGCATGCATTTAAAAAATCCACCCAGTATCCAAAATGAATGTAGAAGGAATGGCTCATCACCAAAAGCCAAAAGAACCCATGAATAACAAAATTGTTATGAGTCATAATACTGACATATCGTGCGGGTCAGATAGACTTTGTGAGAGTTATACGGTAGGGCTTGAATTACTCTAGCCTCATACGCAGCGTTTTTAGGGGAGCTCGTGTTTCGTCCCTCACCACAAACGCCGTTTGTGGAGAGGGACGAAATACCAGCTCCCCAAAAAACGCCTGTGTGGGAGGCTAGAATTACTTCGATCCTTGGCTAGATGAGACGGTATGCATTTCTTCCTTGTGTCAATACTAATAAAACGGTCAATAAAAATGGATGGGGGCGTGCATTTAAAAAATCCGCCCTGTAACGAAAATGACAGCAGAAGGAATTGCTCCTCACCAAAAGCAAAAAGAACTAATAATTAATAATAATTTCTGTGTTTATAATAGCATGAGCGGATGCCCAGATACCAATTCCCTGTGGTATCACCCCGCCTACCCCCGAACCAAAATCCCACTGCGCCCTTGCAATATCAATTTATGAAATGCCTTTGTTAACAGGTTTGATGCCTAGCAACGATATCCAGCAGGCAAAGGCGGACATATTTTCTGAGGCAGTTTATGACTTAGAAAACGCGATGGTCCGTGCAATTGTGCAGCCAGAACCAGATCAAAAGGTAACGCGTCATAAATTTGGTGCCAAACATGCCAGGATGTCCTCTTGTCAAATAACATAACCGGGACAGCAAGGCGGCAGGCACAGTGTTAGCCTGCGAGCGAAGCGAGCCGCGCGAGAACGAGCAAGCAGTGAAGCTGCGAGGGGCCAAGGAAAGGAGCGCCCCCAGCTTTCACGTCTCCTCTCGCGTGCCTGTCGTGCGTCTACTTTTCACAATATCCTCCAAATGGAGAACTTGCTTGCTGGCTCGTGTAGTGCAAGACAGCTGTAGATCTGAGCTGGAAAGACTTGCTCAGGAATCTCTGTTGAAGGCTATTTAAGCTTTCACGAATACCCTGAAGTTTTGAAGTAAAATCCCTCACTCCCATAATAATTCATTATAGTTTCCTATTATTACTGTACTGAAATGTTCAGGTATGAAAGAGGAGGATACTAGGCACTGTTAATATTCCATCGGCATGGTTTGTTTCCTTTTCCTTTCTTTTTCATGACTTTAAAAAATTCCCTAACTGATATCAAGAGATAATAACGAGCTGGCAGTTGGTAACTGACCTACCTCTTCAATATTTTTCAATCTACAGAAAGTTTTGATGGAAACATTTAAATCAGAGACAGTACCAAAGGCATGCAACTATCTTGAGAAATTTCTGGATGGAAATCCAAAAGATGAAGTATATTGCGTTGGAAATAAGGTAATTTTATAAAATTTGTTCCAAGACCGATGTATTCAACAATCAGCAAGGTGATGTCAAAAAATGTAAGTGACATTGGCCCTTCAACTAAGTAACGCTGTTTTTGTTTCTATTCTTGACAGCTAAGCTTTGCAGACATCTGTTTCTTCGCGTTCTTCAATAGTTACCTAGGTGATGGTCAAATGGCTGTACCAGACACTTTGAAAGGCCTTCCTCGTCTTACTGCACTGTACGAAAAAGTCAGGGATGAGCCCAAGATCAAAGCGTGGCTTGAGAAACGACCCAACTCTGTTCTTTAAATGGAGTTTTAATACCATGTTAGCAGTTTAATGAATAAAATGAGAAGTCCATGCGTTAGTTTTAGCTTAGAATTTTGGTTGATTTAGTTTTTGTATCTTAAAAGATCGTAGATAACGGCCCATTTTTTTCCTTCGGACAGTAAACCAAAAGCTGGCCATGCCCGTTACGGTCGGCCGCTGAGCTATTACTAACCTATAGAAAAAAAAAAGATCCTAACTAGCCTGTTCCAGGCGTTCAGATACTGGATGGAAAACAAAAAGCAGAGGAAAGGAAGAGGAAAAAAAATCAAATATGCTAATATCAAATTCACTGTTGAATTTGAAGAGAAAAATAAAAAGATATTCCAGGGATTACGGATCATAAAGCAGAAAACGTGGTTGCCAACTTTTCGACATCGTCCTCGATCTAGTTATAACTCGAGGCACTCACGACAAAACTAAATCCTACTTTTACCTCCATGCCTTGAACGGTTGGATAACCTGCGAGCAAGAGCTTACTCACAGGCTTAGTGAAGGAATATTGGAGGCTTTTTTTTTCTTTATGGCAAATTTTTCGATGTCTGCTTTACGGAGAATGGATTTAGGGGCAGAGAGGAGTATTGGGAGGGGGCGGAAGGGGGGGGGGGGGGGGATATTTCTTTTCTTCTACCAAACCAACACAAAAAGCCAAGCAAAATAATAAAATGTAAAACTCCGAAAATAATTTCCTCCGTGAATAAGCCCCACCGTGAGCTTCTAGTAGGAAATTGCCCGCAAATACATTGTTTTGTGTTTTTTGTGCAGAGATTTTTTTATCACAGGATGTATGGAGGAGAGGTGGGGGGGGAGGGGTGGGTGGGGGGGGGGGGGGGGGGGGGGGGGGGGGGGGGGCTACAATCTTTCCCTCACAACAAACCCACGCACACACTTAAAGTAAGATTGTAAATGATAACACTGTGCATTGTTTTTCAGCTTTGACAGTGCTGACACTTCAGAGCATGAAGGAAGTCTGTACGCCCGGCCGCATGATAGGAGGCACCGTAAAACTTAAAGCCTCGTTTATGAATCTACTAACTCTATCTTGCTTGTTTTCGGTGTTCTCCCGTTCGTTGTCATTTTTCTCTGCGCGATATTCTTTGCGTTCAAGGCAAATATAGCATTCAGTCGTTTCCTATTGCTATCGGCCAGCGCCCTTTCCTAAAACCCTGGAATCACACCTTTACTTTTTCAACCTGAAAAATGACGTCAACCGAGTCTCTCTACCTCCAAACAGATCATAAGTAACGACCAATCAGAATGCGTGTTTCGCTGTTAGATGTGCGAGCAATCTCATTCCTCTCAAGAGGCACATTATACTAATACTAACATCCATTGAAAGCTACTGAATCGTGACACTTGTTACCCATAATCGTGTCACTATATCACTCCAATCAAAACAAGTTCCTAAAGATCAGATCTATCATGGCTCCAAGTTACAAACTAAGCTACTTTCGTTTACGAGCCCGAGCTGAGCCCGCAAGATTGATTTTTGCTTACGCTGGAGTAGATTATGAAGATCTCAGAATTGACTGGTTAAACAAAGAACAGAAGTGGACTCCAGTAAAAAACACTAAGTCAGTTGGCTTGGATTCACGCCATAATTCACATCCACCACTTCTTTTATTGACAGACAGTGTTTTATGTCAAAAAATACTCGCCTTTGTAAAACATGGTCTAAGAATAGTTATCAAAAGCACTATAACGTTTAGTACACCTAAGAGGTCCCGTTATAGGCTATTTTAATCGCTTTTAGTAAACGTCCCCAAGAAAACTGTTTTCCACCTATTCTATACATGACCTGTCTGTAAACAGTGTACAACAGATACTTACTATAGCCATGTTACAAACGTACAGAACCTGCATTATCTGGGGAGGGGCGGGGGGGGGGGGGTGAACTTTAAAATGAAAATTGGTCTCTTCTCTGTTAGCACCTTTTTTTCTCTGGGCCGCCTGTATTTATCAGAAACAAATTAATGTACTGGCTCCGACTGGTTGATCAAGCGTTTTATGATAATGCTCTTAACATGTTTTATTGCACGTTTACGAAAGGAGAACCTTTTTCCGGCCAACAACAAAAAAGTATTGTAGTCTGTGATGGAAAGCTACTCATACTGATTGAACCAAACATTTTTTCCGAGTAAACAAAAGGTAAAACGATTTGTAGACAAGATAGAGCGTGCTCGCATGCTGTAACGATGAAATGTCATAGACGCTGTAGGGAAACTGCTAGCGCTCTTCACACATTTCAATGCCATGCCCTGGCTTCCTGTTTACGTCATATTACAAATCACACATAGCAAACGCTATAGCGGGTACTTTGGATTTCCTTAAGTCAAATTGAAATTAAATTTGGATATACCTGGAATGTTTCAGTGCTAAGGATAGGTTCGTTCCAAGCGACTCATGCGTAGCAACCTCCAACGTAAATCCTCCTTCTCAACAACAGTAGCAACATGCATCTATGTCCCATTGAACGTCCATTTGTTCATTAATTCAGTCAGATGAACATTCATTAATTAAACAATGCCTAAGCTTCTTGTAGTAACCAGGGCTTGTGACTCGTGCGAGGATAACAGACAGCAGAGAAAAAAAGACTGAGATAACTGACAGATGACAAGTGTACAGGTCATAGCCTGCAAATACAGCCGTTTTTTCTAGCTCCACGCCGCCAGTGACGTTTCGCCTTAGCGGCGAGGAGTAAGGAGAAACGGCTGTATTCGCAGGCTACTAAATTGATCGCTGTATCTGACAGTTCTTTCTGATCATAACTATGTTCAACAGACGCGTTTCATTCAACGAATTTATTCTTGCGTCTTACGTTATCTTGTTGACAAACATTTTCGGCATATAAACCACACATAACCCACATATAACTTGGTTGCTTGTGACGAAGGGTTGGGTCCGATTGTCAGTTTCTCATTGGTGCTGGCCAATTTCCTTTAACAACCCAGAGGTGATAGAATCAACTGTTTGTAATTTATGCAAGCATTTCTCTCATTTTCTAGAGCAAAAACTGAACACTAAAATAGATAAGAAAACTGCATTTTTGAGCTTCGTTATCAGCATGATAATAATTTTTACCTTTGTAGGTGGAAAATATCCATTTGGTCAGGTTCCTATTCTGGAAGTCGAACCGGAAGGTGTGACAATAATCCAGTCCATGAGCATACTCCGGTTCCTAGCTGAACGATACGGTACGATTAATTACTGTCATTACTTATACATGTAGTACTCCATCACACAGGGGCTTCTAAAATTCTCTGTGTTAACCAATGTTATCTAATTGAGAGAAGCTCTGGCCTTGATCGTTACTTTTATGGTTCTTTTTAAAAGTAATGAAGCAATAGCCGTGAAACTCTCGATGCTTCGCTATATCGAATCCGCCGTTGCCTCGATTGGCTGAGTTTTTTAGCCCGAAAGATAAGCCTATACTAGCGTAAAAATGTAACATGGTGTGACCCAGGCCTTACGAGAAGTCGTCTCTCCGAGCTATTGGACTCCCAGAACTATCTATGATATGTTAGATTGACCGTGTGCCGGCCATCAACAGGGGCATAGCCAGGATTTTTTCAGAGGTACGCACAATTCTTCAAATCGCTTTAAAAGTAAGAATAAATGGAATTAATTTAAGAAATCATTCGTTTTGACATTCATTGCTTTGTAATATCTGGAAATCTTTTCGAAATAAAATATTACGATGTATGTAGGTTTAAGTGGCCTAAAGATCAAAATAAGAATAAGAGAGGTTTGTTTGGGTCTAATAGTTCATGATAGTTCTTATTCCGGAATACGATCTGTTGAGCCTAGGCTAGTCAGTCAGATAGGCTCTAATGAGAAAAATCCGGCAAGGTTTTAACATCTAGTTCTTTAAATTTCTAGGAAATCGCTGTAGCAATATATCACGAGGGAATAATCAGTAATGAGAGATTAATGTGCCGTTATCTCCTCAGTGCAACAGGCTTGATGCCCAGCAATGATATTGAGAAGGCGAAAAGCAGACATGTTTTCTGAAGCAATCTATGACTTAGAAAACGCGTTTATCCGTGCAGTTGCCGACCCAGACAAAAACCAACAGGTAAAGCATGATTATCACTATCATCATCATCGTCATCATCATTATTATTATTACTTTCTTCTTTATTTTAATACCATAATACAACATAATAGCCGAGTCCATTCCTGGGGCCTAGGGTTAGAATGAGGTAGAAGTCTATTTGATGGAGACTGTCTTAGGATGTGAGTTGTTGTTATTATTATTATTATTATTATTATTATTATTATTATTATTATTATTATTATTATTATTATTATTATTATTATTATTATTATTATCTCTGAGTTAATGGAAACATTCACTTTCCGTCACAATGCACTTCCGTTTGAATTTGAGTTGCTAAAAAGCCCAAAAGAATTCATTAAAGTTCTCTATAACATATGAAATGTATAACAACACGTACACAATCAATATTTCTTTCCGATGATGTTTTCTTTTCCTTTTGTTGCTTTCCAAAATTTTAAACCTAATTTTAAGAGAGGATGAACTATAGATACTCGAACTGATTGCGCTCTCCTCTTTTAAGAAAAATTATAGAGAGTTTTGATGGCCAAGTTCAAATCAGAGACAGCACCTAAGGCGTCCGTCTACCTGGAGAAATTTCTGGATAAAAATCCTAAAGATGAAGTGTACTGCGTTGAAAATAAGGTAAGTTCACATAGAGAGCTTTTCTACCCGGCGGACTAACACGGGAATAAAATGTTCTTAGGTATCCTAGCCACCCTTGCTGCTTTGCATTTCCAGGATGACAGCGTCTCGGTTTTCTTCTTGTTTAACAGCTGAGTTATGTAGACATCAGTTTCTTCGCATTCTTTAACAGTTACCTTGGTGGCGGTGAGTTGGAAGTACAGCGCTGTACGAAAAAGTCAGGGACGAACCCAAGATCAAAGCGTGGATTGAGAAACGTTCAAAGGCACCTCTGTGATGAGCCTGTAAAATCCTCTGACGTTAGTCAGGAGCCTAGAACTAATTAGACTACGAGTAGTCCCCATTTTTCGCTCGCTCTACTATCTCTGAGGAAAAATGGGGACTTCTCGTAGTCTAAGTACTGATAGGCTAATTAATCTACTATGATATAACGAACGCATCGGCCTTTTACTGTTGTAGTCCTGAATGTGGCTTGAATTAGTAAATCCTGCAGGATCATTTCTTTTGGTATCTAAATAAAGCCTACTGAATAACTGTCTAAAAGTTTTATTCAACTGGACAATTTTAACCGAAAACTACCCGCCCCCGTCAAGGTTTGTCCCCCATTACCGGGTTAAACTACCGGGAGCCTGGTCCCAGCTTCTAGTGCTCAGGCCTCAAAACAGTCAAAAGTAAGAAAAGGAGTCCAGTCCACAAATTTGTGCAATTGCGTTTTTGAAAGAGAAGTTAGGACATTTCACGTTTCTTATCCCACACGCAATAACTGAACTTGCAGGCCCCTTGGGGCCATTGTGGAGTAAAGGCATGAGACAGCAATTTCTGGCGAACACGTGATCAACTTTCTCGAGACTTTGTCCACGGACCAAAAGAGAAATATACACATCAACCCCAAGAACGTTTATCTTGTGTTTTGTTTTTGTTTTTCTCTTTCAGAGCGAGACAAGAATAGACTTTTAAGACTCCTGATCTGTTGCGAATCATTTTTTTTTTGTTATAAAGCAAAGAGTAAAAGTCAGTTGTTGTGTGTACCCGCCTTCTACCCTTCAGTCCATGGCGATCTGTCGTATGCGTGACAGTAATCGGCGCGATTGTCAGAAGGTAATATTTTTCTAATATAATGCATAACGTATTTCAACCCCCAGTGGCCCAACTACAATAACGACCTGATCTTATAGATCCGATATGCTGTAATTTTTGCATTGTTTTGTCCCTGTTTTTGAGGTTGGTTTTGGCCAATCCTTTATTTTCTCTGCGAGACATCAACTTGACACTTGGACTCTTGCCCTCCAGAAGACACGTGATATGGCGTGATTCTCAGGTATACTGAAAAGTTACAATAATAGCGAAACAGCTGTCTATGGCTACAATCCCGCTTTGTTTTGAGTTCTTTCGGTGTCGTGTTGATGTCCTGCAAAGTTAACTTTTGCCTAGTACGATCAGCATTGCAGTATTCTGCTTGCAGAATTTTAAAATGTCTACTTGTTATTTTTGCTGATCAGGTCTTTATAGATCCTACCGCTACGTTCTTCGGCATATTCGTTTGCGGTCCTTGTGTGTCCTTTTGTGGTTAATATTTGTACTCCAACTACAATAGCCGTTCTTCTATTTCCCATTACGACCCCCCCCCCCCCCCCCCCCCCCCCCCCCCCCAACCTCCTCCCTCCAGAAGAGCACTCCAGGAGTTAACTATCAAGACAATTCGGAAGACTTAGGTCACACACTGACAGTTGATGCATCACAGTCGTCTTAAATTTACGGCGTGTTTGTGTACTATATATTCGTATTCTACACACGCTTGTCCTGATCTTCCAGACTTTCCTTAGCGAGATGCCTCAATACAAGTTAACTTACTTTCCAATCCGTGGCAAAGCCGAATGTATCCGGATGGTCTTCGCAATCGCTGGCGTCGAATTCGAGGACGTTCGCGTTCATCCACAAGATTGGCCAAAGCTCAAAGAATGTAGGTATTACAACATTTCAAAGCAAAGAACATTATCACGGACATTTTATGCCCAATCACGTTCTTAGGTTGATCTCTTATTCCATGATTGTTTCTTTTTTTGATTTATTATGAGGGTTAGGGTCAAAGCGATAGCCTGTTCCAGGCGTTCAGATAGTAAAGCGCGGCGGTAAGTGGGGAGCGAGTTAAGTTGTACACCGTCTCCCCCTTTCCCCCTCTAGTCTCCCCTCGTTTTTTTTCCTTGTGAATTTTTCTCCCGCGGTCTACTATCTGAACGTCTGGAACAGGCTATCAAAGCGACTGTATTTGTCTCAATCAGAATTTACTATACGAGATTAATTGACTGATAAACGCCGGTCTGTAGGTGTTTAAAATTGTGTAGTCTCAACGCGGTACTCAAGAAAGAAACAGCTTATCACTGGGATATCGGAACCTTTCATTTCATCCTCTGGTTGGCATGACTGAATAATTGAACCTTGTTTAAAATATGGACACCGTCCAAAGAGACCAAAGGGACACTGATCAAAGTGTCAGTTGTACAGCAGAGGTGTCTGGCTTAAAGAGGGAAGAATTGAATAACGTTTCATGTTTGAGACTAAGAGAACAAGGCGTAACATAGGAGTGCCCGCAAGGACAGGTTCGACTGTATGTATTATCCTAAAACAAGTGAAATCTCATTCAGACTTATCGTTCATGGGCCATTTTATACTTAGAAAGGAATGTTTGTTTTAATGATTTGTTTTCATAGTAGCTTATTAATTTCGTGATCTTTGGCAGTGGTTCATTTCTTTTGTTTTGGGATTTTTTCTCATCGATTTTTTTTGTACTCACCAGACCTTTTGTTGTGAAAGCATCTAGACCGGATCTTTTGTGAAAGGAGCTCTGTGATCGTATTTTTCGGTCGGTACGACAGCACTGTTGGACCATAAAAATTGTATTTGACAGATATCACACATATTTACTCGAATGTGACGACATTTAACAAAAGCGTTACTGTTTGACAGATGAGTTGATTGCTTTTTCGGTCTCACAAGATATTTGACTGATCTTGTTAAAAACGGTAATTGGAGAAGATAACGACTAGGAACTGGTGACTAAACTTATCATCGTCATCATCACTATTCAGTACAAAGTGGATGGTTTTACAAAGGGTATTTTCGCGACTCGATAGCCTGCGAAAACATCCGTTTCTCCTCGCTCTTCGCCGCAGGGGAGGCCAGCGACTCGAGAGTGGCCCTATCTTTCCTATCTTGTCTAGCCTCCCACGCAGTAGCCTGCGTGCAGACGATAACTAAACTCTGATTAGTACCGGAGTTAACCAGCGTTTAATTTCGTCTGCGCGCAGGCTACCCACGCAGGCGAACGAACCCCTAAGAACGTGTACGTGGGAGGCTATATTTTGTCCTCGTGAAATGTGAAATGGCTAGTTTTTCCTCGCGAATCGGGATTTCCATAGTTAAGCGTGATTTTGCAAAATTATTCCTTCGTGAAGCGAAAAATAAATGAACCTTTAATTTCGCTATGTCTGTTATTTTCGTGAGTGGTAAAAGGTCTGTCTTATTTCCCGTGAAACGTGATCGATCGCCCCTCCACCCACCTTTACCACCCTCTGAAGCATGTGGCTCTGCTCACCTTTTGAGGCATTGACTTTCACTGTATAAGCGTAAGTATATAAGTGCTACAAAAACTGAGGTTATAAATACATTTCTTACATTTTATCTCTTCAGCTGGATTAAGTCCTTCAGGTCAGCTTCCTATTTTGGAAGTGAACGGGCAGATTCTAACACAGTCCAAAGCTATTCTAAGTTATGTGGCCAAGGAACTTGGTTAGTACTTTTTTTAAATTTGTCTTTTAATCAGTACAGTAGAATTTTTTTCCTCCACGATGAGGGGGAAGAATAAAGTGGAGGAAGAAAAACTAATAACCTTAAATCGTGCATGAAGCGGTTGCAATAATCACACTTCTTTAGTTCAGAGAATTGTTTAAGCAAAGTGGTCGCTAAGAAGAAAATCAATTTTTTTAGTTCTTGGAAATATGGGTATAATGTAGTTGTAAATATAACCTAGAAAGCAGTTTTACTTTTGTGGTTTATTGAGGTTTGGCCCCAGAAGACAATTTTCAGCTTGGTCAAGCCGACATGTTAGCTGGCGTGATCTCAGAGTTAGAAGATAAGCTAAACGCAGCCTTCGCCAATGAAGACCAAGAAAAAAAGGCGAGGAACTTACATCTAAAGTAATATTGTACTGTTAAGTCAATGTTGTAGTAGTCTAGATTGCAGCTAGGAATTTAGCTTCGTCGTTAGCCTGCGTAGCTGGCGGAATTGTTTTTTGAGCGTGTGAGAGTTTTGGCGGCAAAGCGAGCGTAAAAGCGTCTCCTTCCCATTCTCAGCACGGTTTTGCAGCTCCTCTTTCAAAACGTTCCTCGCGCAAACGATCCCGCTGGTTACGCAGGCTACTCCGTCGTTAGTTTGAATTGCTGTTTTGCGTTTCTCGTATAGCATTAATTCCGCCTGCCCCACCTTACCTTCCAACTAATTATTGCTGTATGGACGTTCCTAAGGTTTCTTAAGTTTTCCAAGCAGATACTGACTCGAAAATAATTTTTTTTGTTATGTGTAAACGATTAATCTTGTTTGAGTATTTTTGGGAAAGCCCATCATTGTATTATGGAAAAGTTAACTGATGCTCAATCAATGTCTTAAGTATTAACCTGAAATTTGTTCTTTTCTTTACAGGAAAAAGCCCTCACGGCTGTTCGTGAGCTACTTGTTAGCAGATGCGAATATTTTGAGAAGCTCCTGGCTACTAACAATAAGCGGGGATTTTTCTTTGGAGAAAAGGTTGATAAGTAAATCTATAGTGAACAGTGACTTCTATTTTAAATTATGCAAGTAGTCTATTTTGTGCAAGCCTGCGAGAAGGCTCACATGTGCGAGTTCGGGGAAAATTTTGGCCTGCTCGCAAGGTACTTTTTGTCCCTAATTTCTCCAAAGCGACGAAAAGTCTGAGTACAAACAGGAGCTCAGGTGAGGAAGTGAAAGAGAAGAAGTTGTTTTTCTCCTCAGTTTCTTTCCCCTTACATCCATATACATCGGTAATGATTATGATTATTATTAGCTATCGAACGCCTCTATGTAGAAAGTTGGCCGGGTATGTGCTTGGGGCCAACCTTATCCCAGGGCTTTTTATTACCGTTACAAAATGGAAGGGACCTTTTCCCGCCCTCCCATTTTCAACGGAAAAATCCTCGGAACAAAGTTGGGTTGGAGTCGGAGCCCTTCCCGGGGAACAACAAGACTATTTCGTCTATCTTTCGTTCCCTGTTATGACATAAGCCTTCCGAGGAATTCTAGTTGTTCCAATATTAACTCGATTTCTGCGTTTTTCTAACGATTCCCACCCAGGTCTCATAAAAGCTATTGATATCTTGTGGTAACGGATCCAGCTCCAATCACCGGCAATGAGAACACTGTTCGATAGAAGAATCAAGTAAAGAACTATGAAATCATATCGGTAGTCACTGTTAAGAGGCTATTGGTACACCATTAGATCGACTGAGAAACAAAAATACAAATGCGGTATCGCTATATGATTTCGTTTAATAAAAACGTATCTGTAATAAACTAAGACAAGAATACTTATTTTTTGCAATAACTACCCCTACATTTTTTTCTTTAGCTAACCTATGCAGATGTTGTGGTGTTCGCGTTTCTAAACAGCCATTTACTAAAGGGCAAAGCAGAAGGGATCCCTGAGCTGCTTAAAGACTTTCTGGCCTTATCCGCTTGGTATGAGCTGGTCAGAACTCAACCCAAGATTTTAGAATGGCTGAAAAACCCTCCAGCAGATATCATTGATTATGTTTACTGAGAAATGAAAAGGAACTCACAGGATAACCTTGCTTGCAGATGAGACAGAAAAATGTTAGAGTAGATATTAGGGCCGTTTATACGAGAAAAATAATACGCGAAAATATAAGACGCGCCCTTATTGTTCCTTGTTTAAATAGCCCTAATTTTTAAATAGAATTGTCTTTTCTTTTTCTTATAAAAATTATGGCACGAATTTGTTACTCAATAAAAGTGATTGGCAAAAAGCTAAGGTGACAGTCGTTCGAGCGTGCGCATCAGTGATCAAGATGTCACACATCATGCAGGTACATTTTACCAAGATTTAAGAATTGGTAAGAAACTGCAAAAAGTAAAAAGTTCCCTGGAGATCTTTACTCCTTTTTTGCCTTTGTATAAACTCAGGGCGGCCTGAAATAAGGGCCAGATAAGGATCAATAAAAGGTTTCACTTTCTTGGCAAGACCTAATTAATGCCAAACTAGAGAGAGACATGTAGAACTAGAAAGGTTTGGAAGGGGAAAAAATGATATTTTAATACAACTTAATTGACCTTAATTAAGAGCATAAAACCGCCAGCCGAACCTAATTAGGAGAGTTATGCCTTTTTCAATACTATTTTATGAGCATAATCCAACAGATCCTATTTTACTGTAACAGTCTTAAAAAACCAATTCAAGTTCCAACTTTTATTAAAATGCAAAAGTTGGAATAATCGTTAAAAGAATGGAAGGATGAGAAGTAAAGTTTTCAGTGGCGTCAAGCGCAAGCCAGGACTTTCGACCCCAGACCCCCTACCTCAAGAAAAAGCATATGACACGTCTTTCCCAGTCTCTCTCGAGAAATCGAATGTTTGATCGATCGCGGTGTAGAACGCGAATCTAAAGTGTAAAGTGGTGAATATGTCTAAAAATCCTACAAACTGACATACTTTAAAGCTAGAGGACGTGGAGAATTTATACGTCTCGTTTTCTTGATCGCTGGGGTGGAATTTGAGGATCACCAAGTCGATTTTCACGAGGAATGGCCTTCGCTCAAAGCAAGTAAGTACTTGATGGCCTGTTCCGTGGGGGTTTCGCCCACACGTATTTTTGAAGTTTGAGGTTTTGATTTGCAGAGAAGCAGTAAGACAGAAAAGCTTTCATTTGCCATACATACGTGCTGAGCCTATCGACAACTTCGTCCATGTGGACGAAGACGCGGTGGGTGGGAGTGGGGTAGGGATTGACGAGCGTCGTGTGACGAGACAACAAGGGACTGCGTGCGTAGGAGATCGTATGGTTAAATCACCAAAAATGAAAGAAATGACAAAAAAATTAAAAGCAATAGAGTTCGAGACAACATATGAGAGAGACAAAGAACGTTTTTAACACGAAATATGATCTTGGGAATGAGGGGGGTGGGGTTAGTGATTTGGTAATCTTGTAAGGTAGCGTTCGCAAAAACTTGTTGAGGCGGGGGGGGGGGGCTGATGAGAAATTGGGGGGTCCCCCCCAAAAAAATGGAGGTAAAAAGGGTGGTGTTAAAAAATGTAAACACTCTCGGGGGGGGGGGGGGGGCCTTAAATAATGAAAACAAAAATTGTCATTAGCCAATGACACCACACACAACACAAAAATTTAACAAAATATAATATTTATTAATTAGCAGTACTATTTTTGCTTTGTTTCTTACAGAAATAATACCCTTTTTTTTCTCTTTTGATTCTGTTATAACACCTAGTACCGTATTGTCAACATAGAATATTCAGAACATAGAGCTGTAACTTTTTTAGCCATCCAAAGAGCCTTTTTATAAGAAAATATAAATAATATAAATTCTTGATAATTTTCTCAATCATGTCATATAAACTATAGAGTATCTCTTTTGTAACATCTCATTTCATTTGATTTGAGCAAATAGAACATCTCTAGAGTCATTCAGAATCTCTAGTGTAACATGTCATTTCTCTTCAGCTGAGCAAATGAATAACATAAACATATGATCATTTCACTCTATTTGAGGAAAAAATAGCAGAGTAACACAGAGCTCTTTTGCAACATCTTTTATTCCATTTCATCAAATTCTTCTGGATCACTTTCTTCCATTGTCAGTTTCATCAGCATCAAGGATAGCAACATCTTTATCAACATCATGACTGCTAAGTACCTGAAAAGAAACTCTTGTTGGGTCCCTGTCTTGAACTTCATACCTTGCCTTGCAATAAGAATACTCTCAAATTGTTTAAATTTATCCTCAGCATCACTGTCTAGACATCCACTCTTTAAAAGGCATTGTATTCCTCTTAAGTACAGCTTTGGATATAGCTAGTTTAAGGGACACCAGATTTAAATTTGAAAGGTTTAACCCATTTGCTCCTGGAGATTTTGCCGAAAAACGTGTTTTGAAGCTAGTCGAGTGGTTTTCTGGTCACTGTCATGCTATAAAGAGCTGAAACTTACCACAAACCGGTTTAAAGGTCGTACACTTCGAGGCCTTCTGATCCAGATGCAAAATATCAGCTTGCGAAGGTCTTGACTTTTACTTTTCGCTTTCTCTCCTCCCCTCTTTTTTCACTTTTCTTGCCTCATTTTTTTTTCTCTTGCTGGGCATTTAGTAGGCTTCGTTTTGGTGGGAAGAGTTTTTAGGAAAGCTTTAATAAGGATCTTAGGATTAGGTGAAAGGAAAGTGAGCAATGGAACAAGATTTTGATGGAGATTTTCAGGTCAATGTCACGTGGCTTTTTGCTTCTTTCTCCAGTGTCCTTGACTGAATTGTGCTCATTCTGGTATGGTTTGAAAGATCTCTTCACTCTGCACAAGTTAGTGGACAAAGTTGTCCTTGACCATTAAAACTGATGACGTCACAAAGGGTAGAAAGGACGTGGATCTGCACGGGCGGTTACAGGCGGTTCAGGGGCGGATGGGTTAACACAGTTTTTTGGCCATCAATAATTGAATCAATGATAGCTTTGTCAAATTCTGGCAAGAATGAAGGATTTTTGTAGGTTGTTTTAGTGCTACCTTCTGGACTTTCTTTCCCTTTTTCTTTCCCTGCTCTTTATATAGCATTTTGTGCATGCTCTGATGCTTGTGCATCCACTTTTGAGAAGTTTTTCTTCAATAGTGAGAAAGTGAGTAGTGATTGACTGGCTGTATAACTGATGCCAGCAAATGTTTTTTTATTATCCATAATAAACAAATACAGGGACAAGGAAGACATGAGGACTTAGAGGTAGGTTGGGGGTGTCTCAAATTTTAGGGATACTAAAAGTGGGTCCCTGAAAATGTTTTGTGCAGGGGTCCTCCAAATTTTTTAGATCGTAGATAATTTCTCATCAGTCTCCCCCAACAAGTTTTTGTGAATGCTCTCTAATGATGAATAAATCATCGTTACTGGAATTAGGGTTAAGGTAATTATCACCCACCTTTTTTTGTTGTTGTTGTTGTTGGAGGAGGTGAGGGAGGGGAAGGGGGGGATGGGGGGGGGGGGGGGGTTTGTTGGTTGCCTAATAAAATCCCCCCATTCCTTTTATTTCATACAGGTTTTTTTTTCATTTGGTTTGGTGTTTGGATTGCCATTTTAATTTTGGGAAACATTGTTTAAAGTTCAACTTTTTCATTTTTTTTTTGTTTTTTATCTTTGCATTTATTTTTTTTCTTTT